ACAAGATCGCTCATCAACAGATATTTCATGTTTTAGAAAACTGGAAAAGTTTCAGATTATTTGGTGGTTAGGTTAGGTTAGGTCCAAAGTGTGTGGGTCTATCCGACCCTACACAGCAACCCGCAAGGATTTATTGTGGGTCACACCTATTCACACTCGATCAAATACACTCAGCTTGTATGGTGAGTGGTCTTTCAGGTCAGATGGTAAGAGTACGACTCTGCCGAACTCTGAAAACCTGATTTGGTTCCCAGCGGGGCAGGCAAAAAGTATGTGCTCCGCTGTTTCATCATTTACCAAACAGAGGCGAAACACACTGATTTCTTCCGACAGTACGGGTCTCTGTAGTTCATCCCTTCTGTAGTCCAACAACTGTTTGGTATCAAGCTTCGAAGGGTGAATAAAGGCCTTGGAGTGAGCCAATCCTCGAAGATTCTGCCAGAAGTCCATAAATCTGGTGGTGTTCCTAACTTAAATGATAAGAACCCAAATAGTAATGATCTCTACAAATCTTTGGGAAGAGTTATATTCATTGCTAATGCCCGTGACTTCATTCGCGTGGAATTCGGGTTTTGGATTTTTCCAAATTTTCTGATAGCAGAGAGTTCTCGTATATTTTGCCACCATCAATTCATTTGGCAAAGATTGGTCCATGATCATCTTCCAATGTCTCTCTTCTTATTTCCTTCGAATCGTTCTGTGGCATCCTGCAGCAAAGTTGACCTCTTCCAACGGTGATAATTGATTTGAGACCTTATCAGTTCTCGGCTGGCGCGTTCCAATATGCGTCATCACCAGAAGACGATTGTAGATACCAACAATCGAAACGTCGTGAACTAACGTGACTTGGAATCTCTACACTTTTTTATTTTTTTATTATTTTCTTTTTTCATTCCTTTAATTTTTATTTATTCAATTATTATATTTTTACTTGTAGGTTATTTCACTATCATTTCATTTCAGGTTTATTGTTGCTTAATATAATTGTTATTTTCAACTATTCTTTTTTAATTATTCTTTTTTACTTGTTTCAGGGATTTCAAATCATTTTATATAGTAGACAATGGAAGTCCGAACTAGTGAAATTCATCAATTCATTTGTTTTGAATACTAAGTTTTAGCCAAAAATCTAAAAACTATTGTTTTGGATGCTATTGCGTTGATAAAGATCGCCAATAGTAGCTATTCTCAAATATTTTTCATCTACAGACTGTTATCAGTCAGATTTATAGGTAGCCCGATTCAGTGGTAAAAGAGAAGGAAAGGAAAGTTAAATACTATATAGAAAGTATAACGAAAGTATAACTCTTCACCAACTGTAACTATCATAAGAGATAGTTGTGAGGAAGAGATAAATGAAAATGTATTCAAAGAATAATCAGTAGGGGAATGTAAGATAAAACAACCGAACCATCATACGGCTGAAATACGGCTTCTGCGAAGGCCATATTTCAGAACAAAACAATTCAAGTTAGCTGAAACTGGGCTCCTAACAAGAGCACTTTTCCAAAATATAGAAATCCCAGTAAAATATGCTTCTTTATTGTCTGAAATATTGTTTCTTGCGAAACACATTTTTTCATAAAGAAATATTCTTCTAATTCGAGTAGCATGATAAAAGTTAGTAATTTGTCATTCAAAATTGAAAGTTCTGAATTATCTAATACATTCTTTCTTGAAGAACTGATTAAATCTCTCGTGAACAGCAAGAAGTATGAATACGTTCAATAAGACAGGAAAAACATTCGTTGTTAACATGCGATGTTAACAGCGACACTTCTACCGACAGGAACTGAATGAAACGTCAAAAGAAGTAGGTACACCCTGAGCCAAAAATTAATGCTTACTGCTAACGTTGAAAGTTTCACTAAATTAATTGAGGATCAATATCATTTTAACCAAAATTCGAAAATATTTTAGAATGCAATGGTTGACCCCAAAGAGATCCAAACTAATGTTAGAACTTCCTTAATGTTTTCTTTCCTTTCATTGCAACAACTGAGTATCAAGTACCTAAATCGTAAACTTTTTGAAATAATTTCAAAATTTTGTGTCTTCTGGGGATTCTGACACAATGCTGTGGTAAATGAACACATAGAGTCGAGTTTTTTTCCTTGAATTCGTGCTGTAATTTATAACCAACTAAATAAACAACAAAAATTAAACAATGTTGCGAAATTCCAACCGCATCAGTTGGATTAGTCACGTTTATTTATAAACATCAATTTATAGATGACTGGATCTTGGTGATGACCACAGCTAATTTTTGATTTCTCCTTATGTAAGAACTCTAGGATGACAAAGGATAACAAATTTCAATTTTCTGATTACACGATAACAATAATTGCAGAGAGTGATAGGTAGGTAATGAAATGGGCCTTAAACATTGGTTTTAAATCCGGCAAAAAATATCAAATAACCTTGTTAATTGAGAAGTGAACCTTGGACAGATATTTCGAAAATAATGGTGAAATCATCGATATACAATTTTTTCACTTATTCTGGAAAGTTCAAGTATTGCAAACGACAAAATACTTTTTCCTGTATTCGGATAAGTAGTCAGAAATGAACAGTGTTTTAAAATCGAAGTTGTCTGAATTGTGCATTGTCGTAGTTAGAGGTTTTTCTCGGTGAACACCTATCCATTCAATCAAAAACATTCTGCTATTCTTGTTTGTTGTGATGGAAAAACATTTGCGAATGCTTTCATAATTTCGGAGTTCATTGATTATTCTATTCGTCGCTTTGTTCTCCAATTTGTTAAAATTCACATTATTTTTTATTGCAATTTCACAAAACTAAAATTAACAGACATATGATTCACTACTTACAATGTGGCCACGGTGTGACACGAATCTATTGGTCCGTGAATAAATTTGCGAAACCCTTTTAAACACACGCAAAACGCAAAAAAGTGTCAAATTAGTTGTCATTTATTCAGTATGTTTTGCCAAATCACCATGGACGGATATAGCATTCAACAATACGCGCAAATAATGAAACTCTTTTATCAAAATGGGTGTTCTGGTTCTCCTCGAGGAACGTACCGCGCGCTTCGTCCATTTTACAGTCGCCATAATCGTCCTAACGAGAGGACTATTCGCAATGTAGGTAGTGGATGAATTTGAGTCTACTGGTTCAGTGAACGATTGACCAACGTACGTCGACGAAACACAAGATCTGTCGAAAACATCGCCGCTGTCTGTGAAAGTGTACAGGAGAATCCGAGGCAATCGATTTCCCATCGCTCACAAGAACTCCGCCTTCAAGTGACCCAGGAACTGAAGGTGAACGACCATGATGTTCCAATACTTATCATTAAAAGTTGTATATATGAAATAGTTAGTGATTTAACTCATCTGATAAATATGTCATTCGAGCAAGGAATTTTTCCTGATGATTTGAAGGCAGCTATTGTAAAACCACTACATAAGAAAGGAAGTTGGTCAGACATTAATAATATCAGACCAATTAGTCTTTTGACATGTATATCAAAACTATTCGAAAACGCAATGGCCACAATATATTTTCTAGTCATCAACACACCTATTTGAAAAAGAAATCCATTGAGACAGCTCTTGTTAATTTTAGTAATGAAATTCTGGAAGCAATGGAAAGAGGGGATCTATCCTGTGGGATTTTCATGGACTTATCTAAAGCCTTTGATTGTGTAGATCATGATCTTCTACTAGGCAAACTTTATAAATATGGAATTCGAGGGAACTCCTAGGCCTGGTTCAAGTCGTATCTAAAAAAAAGAAAGCAAATCGTAGAACTGAACTTGAAATATACTGCAGAACGATCAGAGTCTTTGAAAACGTCTATGGGAGTTCCACAGGGTAGTATATTGGACCCAATTCCAAATTCCGCTCACATAGTTAATTATGCTGATGATATTAACCTATTGTTGACAGGTGCAAACTTACCACACATAATAAAACATGGTAGTATCGTAATAGAAAGGACAAAACACTTTTTTCTGGAGAACAAATTTATTTTAAATGATGAAAAAACAGATTGCGTCATGTTCAAAATTGATAACAGCATGGAGACACCGAAAAGCATCACTTTCAATGATTTTAGAGTGACCTGCAACACCTTTGTGAAGTTTTTAGGTAAATATATCGATGTCACCTCAAGTTGGGTAAATCAAATAGACAATCTATGCAGAAAACTTTCTTCAACTACATATGCTATGAGAATTGTCAAAAAAATCTTGACAGTGATGTTCTGATGATTGTCTACTATGCTAATTTGTACTCTACAATAAGGTTTGGTACTATCATTTGGGGCTCCAGTCATGAGCTGAACAGAGTATTTCTCTGCTAAAAAAGGGCAATCAGAATACTTTTTGGTATGAAGGTCAAAGACTCATGTAGAGGAATCTTTAAAATGAACAAATTATCAACAGTACCAGCGATATACATTTTAGAGTCATTAAAATTTTTAGTAAATCCACCAAGCTACTTTGAAAAGCATCATAAAACACATAAGTATGGAACAAGATTTAGGAATGATTTTTTATACCCTATACATAAAAACTCTATATGAAAGAAGTACTGTCTACAGTGCGATTCAATTTTTTATTTATCTCCCCACCCATCTGTAGAAATAAATGAATATCTATCTATATATCTAATTCAGCCTGATTTATTCATCAGAGTCATGGAAAATTGGATGTTTCGAATGGGCTTCACCCAGAGCAGCCGTGGCGGGCATTTGAATGATGTTATATTCCACACAAAATGGCATCAATAGGTTTCTCAAAAGAATAAAAATATTCGATGATATCTCACACACATTTTGTTTTATTTGAATTTAAAGATAGAAAGCGCTTGATGAACGACCCTATACCTGTCTACCTTGAAGACCTGTCATTCGTCTCCCTTTTTGATGTATGATTCAACGTCCAAAATAGATATTTCACTACATCGTCTTCTGAAATATGAAACGAATATTGTAGAACCACCATATAATAACCCACATGTTCTTGTTTTCAGATATGGAAGTGACCTGATGGCAGTAGAATCCTATAGTGAAAACAACTTAACGGCCAGCATTGCCACTTCTTCAGTGCCGCTTGAAAGGCGAGGAGCTAGTCATTATTGGTTAGGTTTGGCGTCGTTGGATGATCTCAGAACTAATACACTCGAATCAGCCGCAGGCACTTTGGTGTCTCAATATTCAGGTACATAAATTATAGCTTAATGATAGATGGTGTTGCCACCGCGAAGTTCTTAGGATATTTCAAAAAAATTCATTCCGGAGTTAGTCATTTTTGAATATATTCTAAAAAATATTTGACTAAGGGTTCAAATCAAAATGTTTCAAACCGGATTCTATGTTGAGATTCGCACATCACAAGATGAGGCCTGGGAGATTTATTTTCCATTGAGGGACGGCAGTTGGTTAGAGAAAAAACTCATGTTTAAAAATCCAATTTTTTGATGTTATGTGGTTCAAAATAATGTCACAGATGATCACTAAATTTTCATGCTGCGTTTATCGACGATACATAATAAAGGGCACTATTCTCTTCACCATTGACTTTCTGCAAATCAATCATCCCTGTGCCGAAATTTCCGTATTCAGTGACTTCAATGACCACAATATCGAATGGCTTGAATTTTCCAATATCAACGACGAACAAGGTCGCGAAGCTGAGGTTTTTGCAATGAGCAGCGGACTTACTCGGATTATAAATGAGCCAACCAGGATTCCTGGCCGTGATGGGGAATATGCTAAGTCTTCTGGAACTATATCTGAGCCGTGCAAAATTTGGCATTACAGATTTGCTGAGTGGATGGATCTTCAAGACCATTAACGAAATTTCCCCTGGCTAGATGTTTGTTTCAGCTCAGAAGATCCATCTAATTGTGTTTCTGAAGTCACGGAAGTCATTATATCATCTATGGTTGCATATATTCCTATTTTAATGAAACAAACTTCCAACGGCAAACCTTGGTTCAACAAAAATTGCAAGCAAGTTGTCGCCTCCAAAAATCTCGCCTACCGGCAGTGGCGCAATAGTTCCAGTGCTGAAAACCGAACTAGGTTTGTTAATGCTCGCAACAGTTGCACACTCAGAATAAATGATAGCAAAGAACTTCACAATCAGAGAATTAGGGATAAACTGCTTGCCAATCCCAACGGGTCTAGATCCTTCTGGTCTGTAGCTAAAGCTGTTAATCAAAACTTTACAAAATCTACAATTCCACCACTAAAACAAGCGGTTGGTTCTATTGCAACAACAGCCATAGAAAAAGCAAATCTACTAGCTGAACAATTTGCACCCCATTCTACTGCGTCTGGTCCCGATGAAGTGCCTATCATCGTACTTAAAAGAAAGGGATTTTTCTTCTTGTTGGAAGATTGCTCGCGTTCAGACTTTTCCCAAAAAAAGCAAGAACAATCTTCCAAATAACTATAGACCAATCGCTTTGCTATCAGTGATATCAAGAACTATGGAGAAAGCCGTAAACCACCATATTCTTAAGTATTTGGAAATCTTCAACATCATGAGCGATCATCAATATGGCTTTCGGAAACAAATATCAACAGGCGACCTTTTATCGTATGTCACCCATATTTGGAATAACGCAATCGAGAAACATGAAAAGTCAAGAACTGTAGCGCTTGATATTTTTAAGGCCTTTGATCGTGTGGCATGAGCGTTTGCTGGCCAAACTTCGAAGCTATAGCTTGTCGGATCATTTTTATGTATGGCTCTTCAGCTTCCTGAAAGAACGTTCCCTGCAAGTGGCGGTCGACGGATATCTCTCGAATACTTTTATCATCAACGCTGGAGTTGCCCAGGGATCTATACTTTATCCAACCTCTTTCTATTGTATATCAACGCCTTATTGGCGTTGTTATTTTCACCCCAATTCGAAATTATTCTAGATCTTCATTAAGATATGCAATCAACTGTTACGGTGAAGATGTGTATCCGTCGCCCATGTCCTGGAATCCAGATGTGAGGATGAAACAAATATGCTGTCGTCAGCAAAGCAATATATTGGATTCTTGGTTTTTTCCAATAAGGCGTTGATATACAATAGAAAGAGGTTGGAAAAAGTATAGATCCCTGGGCAACACCAACAAACTCTCATGCCACACGATCAAAGGCCTTAAAAATATTAAGCGCTACAGTTCTTGACTTTTCATGTTTCTCGATTGCGTTATTCCAAACATGGGTGACATATGACAAAAGGTCGCCTGTTGATCTTTGTTTCCGAAAGCCATATTGATGATCGTTCATGATGTTGAAGATTTCCAAATACTTAAGAATATGGTGGTTTACGGCTTTCTCCATAGTTCTTGATATCACTGATAGCAAAGCGATTGGTCTATAGTTATTTGGAAGATTTTTCTTGCTTTTTTTGGGAAAAGGCTGAACGCGAGCAATCTTCCAACAAGAAGGAAAATCCCTTTCTTTTAAGTACGATGATGGACACTTCATCGGGACCAGACGCAATAGAAAGGGACGCAAATTTTTCAGCTAGTAGATTTGCTTTTTCTATGGCTGTGGTAGCAATAGAACCATCCGCTTGTTTTAGTGGTGGAATTGTAGATTTTGTAAAGTTTTGATTAACAGATTTAGCTACCAACCAGAAGGATCCAGACCCGTTGGGATTGGCAAGCAGTTTATCCCTAATTCTCTGATTGTGAAGTTCTTTGCTTTCATTTATTCTGAGTGTGCAACTGTTGCGAGCATTAACAAACCTAGTTCGGTTTTCGGCACTAGAACTGGAACTGGAAATTTCGTTAATGGTCTTGAAGATCCATCCACTCAGCAAATCTGTAATGCCAAATTTTGCACGGCTTAGATATAGTTCCAGAAGACTAGCATATTCTCCATCACGGCCAGGAATCCTGGTTGGCTCATTGATAATCCGAGTAAGTCCGCTGCTTATTGCAAGAAGATCTAGAAGTAATTTCGAATTGGTGAAAATAACTAGGTTCAATTCAATGCTGCAAAAACCCAGGCATCGGTTTTCTCTCCAAAAAGAAAAATGTCTTCGAACCGGCTATAATAATGTCAGGTCAGACAATTCCATTTTCTGCTTCGATAAGTTTATTGGGCTCAAAATGGACACCAATATGTCTTGGCACAATAATAATAATAATAATTAATCGTCTTTATTCATCTTTGGACACATATGTAAAGAGATAACAATAATAGGTATTCGACAAAGATAAAGTGTCGAAGTGTCACCCGTGGGTGTTTTTCAACTTAACCATGTAAATACAATATTAATTTACAATTTTCTTAATTATCTTAGCTGTTATATCTACGATGAGTATAATTCTATTACATTGTAGAATAATTTTGCCATCTGAGATCTATCAAATTAATGCATACCTTAAATTCATAAAGTGATTGACTGGTCATTATCCGTTCTGTAGATATAGAGTTCGACATTTGTTGATCATATTGAGCTGATAATAGAGATTTCAACTTTTTTTTGAAGTTCATCAGAGTATATGTACTGTAATCATGCGGAAGTTGATTATAGAACTCACAGGCGTTGTACGTGAAAGATCGCTGAAAAATGGAGGTTTTATGTTTGTACATTGCCAGTAACCCCGAGTTACGAGTGTTATAATCACTCAGATTCCCTATTTTAATTAGTTTGTCATATAGATATGTTGGTGTTCTATATTTCAGTACTTTATGAGTCATATTTAATAGGTGTAATTTTCTCATATCTAACAATATCAGTTTTCGCATTTACCGATATTTATGACTTATGTGCTCATATTTACGTATTCCGAAGGAAAGTCTAATACAAGAGTTCTGTATTTTTTAAAGTCGACTACTGTCAACACTCAGAAGAGCGGGTCCATAAATTTAGTCACAGTAAGCCAGTTTCGATAATATGAGGGATTCACATACACGAATTTTTAGATCGGAACTCATGAATTGTCTACTTGGATAAAGTTGTTTGAGTGTATTATATGAACCTCGGCAAAGTTGATTGACATGTTTTGTGAACGTCAATTCATTGTCCAACCAGAGTCCGAGATTTTTTGTTTCATTTTTTATGGGAATTTTTCCCCACCCAAAATGATGTCGATTGATGTACTGGCTAGATTACGTTTGAGCTTCGGTCCGAAAAACAATGCACTGGACTTACTCGCGTTCAACTTCAGATTATGTGCTGCAGATACATTTATCAAAGAATCCAGATCCGAATTTAAAGCAGCGGTAACATCGGGTTTCACTTCATTGAAAGATAAGTACAGCTGGGTATCGTCCGCGTAATGGTGTATGCGGCAGAATTTGACGAATAAATGAAAATCTGAGATGTACAAAGAAAATAACAGTGGGCCTAATATTGATCCTTGCGGAACGCCATGACTCAAAGCAAGGGTCTCTGAGGATTCAAGGTCATGAACCACTCTCTGTGTTCTTCCCTTCAGGTAACATTCCAATAGTTTCACTGAATCAGGGTGGAATCCAAAGAATTCTAATTTACTAATGAAAACCTAATGATCTATGGTATCAAATGCCTTGCTGTAATCCAACAGGATCAGACAAGTAACCTTTCCTTCATCAGTTGCCCTAAAAATATCATCGACAATATTTGTTAGAGCTGTGGTGGTGCTAAATCCTCCCCTGAAACCAGACTGAATGGGTGGTATAATATTATGTTTCATTACGTATTCATTGATTTGATTGTATCATATCGCTGGAATTGCAAAAACTACTTCTCAAAATCTTGGAACACTCTTTCGAACCAGAAAACTGCAAAATAAAAAAATAAGAAATCATAAAAAAGTATCCAAGGCCTGGTAATATAAAATATTTCACACAATTGAGACTGATGATATTGTGAAAACATTTGACCAACTGAGTCTCGTACACATACTCAAACATGTCTGCAGACGGTCCTGTTGAAAAGTTCAGTTCAAGAATAAATCAACACTGATCAATAGTCAATAACGAATCAGCGAACGTTCCTATCCCTTCATTAGTAGTTGTAAAAACACGCTCTTGAAACTTCATGCACGGAAAAAGTATTCTAGATAATTGTTAAATGTAATAAAAATCAATTTGGTACACTTTTCCCGATTTCTCCAACGCTTTACGTTGAGCGCATATAGTGGGTCTCATTATAGATTGCAAAATGAGTCAGGTATCTGCCCGCATTTCCGTTAAAAATTTCTCATTGATATTATGTGTGCCAGAAATACTACGAGATACGAAAATGAAATTGAATAATTATAATCACCCCGATGAAATGTTGAGGAATAATGAAATTATCGCAGAATATATAGAAAGGTTTGGGAATTGTCGTAAGTTTTATAGGAAAAGATTTTCACTTACTTTTTTAGAAGCCCTATCAGGCTAGCAAGTCGAATCCAGCAAAATTGCAAAAAAATACATGAATTAGTTGCTAATTAGTTGCCAAAACAACGATTTTGTTGCTCGTGCCGATCCCTAGAAATCGCAAATAATGCCTTGTATATAGCAAAAAAAATGTAAATATTTTTTTTTATTTTTTATGATCTTGCTATCTTGAAACTGTTTTTTTCCTAGAATTAAAGGTATTCTAAATTTGTTGCTCACAAAAATTAAACTTGAATACACCTTGAGTAACAGCAACAAATATTTGAAACCGATCGGCCGATTTCAATTTTTTTTTTTATGGTTTTCCTTAGAATAAAAAGAATTTCAAATTTGTTGCTCACCAGGAGTATACTCAAATACACCTTGAGTATCAGTAACAAAATAGTTGAAACTGATCGGCCGATTTTTGAATTTTTTTTCTTTTTCGTCGTTCTTGCTATCGTGAAACTGGTTTTCCTTAGAATAAAAAAAGTTTCAAATTTGTTGTTCACTAAGAGTTTACTCAAATACACCTTGAGTATCAGCAACAAAGTAGTTGAAACCGATTGGCAGATTTTTAAAAATTTTGAATCGGCCGATTTTAATTTTTTTTCCATTTTTCACGTTCTTGCTATCTTGAAACTAGTTTTCCTTAGAATAAAAAGTGTTTCAAATACATCTTGAGTATCAGCAACAAAATAGTTGAAACCGATCGGCCGATTTAATTTTTTTTTTCAATTTCCTCGTTCTTGCTATCTTGACATTCAAGGTGTATTTGAGTATAATCCCGGTAAGCAACAAATTTGAAACACTTTTTATTCTAAGGAACACCAGTTTCAAGATAGCAAGAACAAAGAAAAAGAAAAATAAAATAAAAATCGGCCGATCGGTTTCAACGAATTTGTTGTTAAGTTTACTTTTGGTGAGCAAAACTTCAGAACATCTTTAATTCCAGGAAAAAACAGTTTCAAAATAGCAAGATCATAAAAAATTTAAAAAAAATTATCAATTAGTTTTTAGCCATGAGAAATTGAAGCAATAAAAAATTTAAAAAAAATTATTTAAAAATTTTTCACCATATCCAAGGTTTAGCAACTAAACTGTAAAGATCGAAGGAAAAGTATATAATTTATTGAGTTACCTTGCTACCTTTATATCACGATAGCATTATTTGCGATTTCTAAGGATTGGCACGAGCAACAAAATCGTTGTTTTGGCAACTAATTAGCAACTAATTAGCTACAAATTGATGTTTTTTTGTAATTGTAATTGTAATTTTGCTGGATTCGCCTTGCTAGCCTGATAGGGCTAGAGTGAGTTGTAAATCTCGTAATGATAGATTTTTTGAGCTGTGTCCAAATTCATTCAAAAATACACAAATACATACAGGGGTATGTAGATACTAAATAGGTACTTGGGTAGTGGATTTATAAAAAAAAATTACTTTGATTTAAGTGATCATCCTATTCCAAATTCAATTAAACATTTTTCATTCCCGAAAATGGGTGGTATCCACCCTCAGGGTAAAAGCAACCCCCGATACAAAATCGACTTTGAAGTAGATTGTAAATAGAACCTCAATCCAAATTTTCAAGCAAATCGGTGCTGTTTGGTAAAATTTTACAGTATCGCTATATATAGTTCATCTTCAGTGATTGAACTATTGAAGTTCTTCATAGCGTTTCGTCACTGAATCATACGCTCTCAGATTCAAAAGGTTTAACTTACTTCGCTGATCCATGGACGTCTCGTTCTCTTTCCGCGTTCGCATATTGATAAAAAAATTCTGGATCATCCTAAGCCAAATGTCAGAAATTGTATAAGCCTTCCTTTTTCAATAGCAGTGCTCAGAAAGTCGCGAACTATCATGCAGAAAATAACAAACACGGAGTTATACTACATCTATGAGAAACTAATTTTATTTTGCGTTTTTATAATACGGCTGTATATAGTACGCGCCAACGAAGATGAGATTTTGATGCGCATTTAAAACCAAATTGTACCCGCCCCAGAAGATAGCTGTTGGTCACACAAACTGATGTCAAAAGTACATTGGCGAAATATGACTCAAGTGGACGGAGTCTTTTAACACAGAACGATTTTACGCGTCTGCGCTGACACATTTCAGTTGACGCGCACAATAACAAATTGGTATATGGAACTCTTCATGTTGCAGTTTTTAATCGAAAACATGTACAACAATATTTTTAATCTCAAGAAATGTATATATTCAATGATTTTTCTACTGTTTGCAGGTTTCTGGTCCCTTGACCAGCCCGATCCAAGTAACGGAGAATGCGTCGACGTAATCGTTACCGAAGAATCTCAATCATGGCAGCTCACTACTTGCGAAAGCCTGCAGCCCTTCATGTGTCGCGCGAAAGCTTGCCCAACCGGATCATACCATTGTTCCAACGGCAAATGTATCAACGAAAAATTCCTTTGCGACAAGCAAGACGACTGCGGAGATGGTTCTGATGAATTAAATTGCCCCCTAAACTGCAATTACTACCTAGCCAGTAGCGGGGACGTTGTTGAAAGCCCCTACTACCCACACAAATACGCGCCACTGACCAACTGCAAATGGACATTGGAGGGACCACAAGGCCACAACATCCTTCTTCAATTCCAGGAGTTTGAAACAGAGAAAACTTTTGATACAGTTCAGATACTAGCTGGGGGAAGGACCGAAGACACCTCCATAAACCTGGCTACGCTGTCAGGGAAGCAAGACTTAACGAACAGGTCATTTGTGTCAGGATCAAATTTCATGATCATCAAGTTCAGCACTGATGCTTCGGTTGAAAGGAAAGGTTTCAGGGCATCTTGGAAAACGGAGCCCCAAACTTGTGGGGGTACACTCAGGGCTACCCCTCAGGGACAAGTTCTAACATCTCCTGGTTATCCTGAACAGTACCCTGGTGGTTTGGAATGTTTGTATATAGTACAAGCTCATGGCGGAAAAATTATTACTCTGGAAGTAGATGATCTGGATCTTGACGAAACACGCGATCTTATTTTGGTTAGAGACGGAGATTCACCCAAAAATAAACCAATAGCGAGATTAACTGGAAAAGGGGAAAGTAACCAGAAAGTGATCATGTCAACGGGTAGTCAGTTGTATCTGTATTTCAAAACAAGATTAGGCGATTCCAGACGAGGTTTCAGAATCAGATATACACAAGGTATGTGATTTTTTTATTAAACATATAAAACCTGGTATTGATATGGTGGAAACCTTTGAAAAGTATATATTTCTTCTCAACAGACGGTCAGAAAAAAATAATTAATACCTCCAATATCTACTATTTGATATATTTGTTGTAAACCCTCCAAAATAGACACATTAGTCTGAACAATTCACAGAAATATTATGGTCCATTTTGGATACCTTATACCCTAATCCATGTATATGGGTATATTTGGAGTCATGACAGTTGAAAAACTTTTAGGGGACAAAAAAGTCTTTCTGTGAGAATAAAAAATGTAAAAGTCTTCCAAATAAAAGAAGAAAGCAATGGATTTCGAAATGAACTCTTCACAAAGATGTGCAGATCATGCAAAAAAGTTACTTTCAGACACAAACTGGAAGACAAAGGATCTCTCGACACAACTACTCATATACACATTGAATCATACAAAAGAAAAAATACTTTCGAAACAAACTACTTTTATGTGAACATTGAATTATACAAAAAACATTTTTTTTTCTATTCAGTTTGTAACATTTTTTTTCTATTCACTCTGTACTCCTAACGTTCGTTATGGAATTGAATCAGATAGCATTCACAGAATTGCATTCACATAGTATACGAAAGAAGTGAAATTTACATGGAACACTGTCATCCAGAATGGCGGAGAATGGCGGATCGGAGTAAGACACTTGCTTTACTGCCTATTCAGCACCAATTTTGATAACATTAGAAGACGATGCACTTAATTCACTCATAACATTACGACTGTATGTCACGAATGAGTTAAATCTACTCATTCTATCGATGACAGTACGTAATTGCTTTTTTGATTTAATCCTTGCCATAGGAATCTTGTTTGAACTGAAAATTTAAATAAAAAATTATTTCCTAAAAAATAGTCTCTCCATAAAATATACTCCTTTCAATTTAAAGAAAAGTATTTGTATCGAATATACATTAAAATAAAGTGTAAACTGCAATTAATGCAAAAAGATGGTGTCTAGAATTATAATCGTGGAATGATTCAGTGATTGAATTATCTCTAATATCACAAGAAACATTAAATTTTCATGAATTCAAACTATGCATTTAAAATACAATTTCAACGAAACAATGAATATTGAATAAAAACACATGTTCAATGAATGAGCAAACAGTAAGAAGTGAATTATCCAAATTGAATTAGAATATCAACATCTATTTGTATTATTCTGGGTGTAAAAGTATTTCTAAAAAAAATCATATAATCATGTAAGTACGTTATTTCAATTCAATTAAAACTCTTCGATTTTATTTTGTGTTTTTAAGGAGTTATAGATGTTTTAGTCTCTCAGGAATTATGTTTTATATTATCCTCCGCCACGATAAATCCATTTTTATATGTTCCAAGTATGATAATTCATATATGCATTCAGTAGTTTTATTTTGTATAAATTTTAAATGTTTTTTTGTGGAAATATTCATATTTTGAAAAAATAAGGAGGAGTATTGTTGACTTTGAATTTTGAGTAGAATAACAATAGGAAGTGACGCTTTTTTAAAATAATTTTAATATGTTTCATCCAAAGATATTTTTATCAATAACAATAAGATAAAATAATTTAACAGGGTCTCTCAGTCAAAAAAATTAAAAATCAAACTCTGCTTTACTAAGCCAAGCTTTCGCTTCTAATGGGAAACTTCTTCAGGGCAGTAAAAATGAGTAAAAAACAATAAATTGAACATAAAAATTGACGAGAAAGTTATACATGTATAGGATTTTTTGTGGGTTTGACAAATGGCATACCTTCACATTATGTGAAGTAGAATATTCTCATTTAGTTTTCGATTCCACTAGTAGAAAGATACCACGTAAATAATCTTCAAAAAGGTCAATTCTAGTCTATTGGAAAAAAATTTGAAGCGATTTTTATTTACGGTGCGAAGCGGTCACGAGACCGAAATGATTTTCAATGAACGTTTTCCGAATCGCCCTATCTGTAGAAAATATTTGAGGGAACTTGTATCCAAATTCACAACGTGTATATAACAAAAAGCCCCCAGATCATTCGTCCATTCCGAAAAAATAGCAAGTGCAAATAATTGTTGAGGTGGTAGTAAATCCTGAACAGTCTACTTATTCCGTCGCGAATGTTTGTGAGGTCTATTCTTCTACTGTGTGTAGACTTTTGAAAAGGAATAGGTATCATCCATACAAAATTTAAATGATACACCAATTAACTGAAGATGACCCTGATCGAAGAACAGAATTCTGCGAAATCATGACAGAAACCATTGCAAGGCATCCTACCTATCTCCACAATATTTGTTTTAGTGACGAAAGTACATTTATTTTAAACGGCAATGTTCACAAATAAAACTGCCGTTATTGGAGTGACACCAACTCTCACGTTTTCCGGGAAACACATTCCCAATATCCAGAAAAAATTAACGTTTGGGCAGGAATATTGGGAAACCATATTGTAGGACCTCTATTTATTGATCAAAATTCAACAGGGGAACTGTATTTGAATATGCTGGAAACTACTGTTGACCCTCTCATCACTGAAATCGTTGAAGCGAATGCTAATGAATTCGATATGAATATTGTATTCCAACAAGATGGAGCACCACCGCCTTACTCCAGACAAGTAAGAAACTATATGGATACTACTTTTCCCGGTCGTTGGATTGGCCGTTGAGGTCCTACAGAATGACCAGCCCGCTCACCAGATTTGACACCTTTGGACTTTTTTTATGGGGCTATTTGAAGCAAAAGGTGTACGAAACTGAACCTACTTCAATATTCGTAATACGGCAGAGAATAATAAATATTTGTAGAGATATTGACGTTACTGTGTTCGAAAATGTTCGGCGTGAAATATCGGATAGACTGTTCATATGTTAAGAAGTTCAAGGCAACAATTTCGAACATCTTCTGAATTGACCTCAAACTTATTACCTCATATTAGGTAGTTGAATGTCAATGTATTCAGGCAATTATTAAAAGTTTCGCCATTTTGTAGTAGTTGAAGATATTAACATTATATTCTAGGGTTGTGAATCATTTGTCAGGAGCTTCAAAAAAATGTATCACAAGACTCTCTTTTCCATTTAATTTTTTTCCCAGATAACGCCCGGTCGCCATCTTGAAAGTTTCATCTGTCAATTTCACTACAAAATGAAGTATTCATGCATTAATTTCATTATCCCAAGTTTCAATTTTTTGAGTTGACCCGTTCAAAAAATAAAAGGGAAGGAACATAAAGAAATGCACTGTATATAAGTCTTTGACAAGACTTTTGAACTTTTCGTACTTTTGAATGCGATTTTTGATACATATTAGGACCGTTAACGCAGTAGGCGAATTCAAAATTAGATAATACTAATGATTCACACAGAAGCAGTTTTATATCCTGGTCATTTATTTTGCTAATATCGTTATTGAATCTCCATTTGAATGAAGAAGTTGATAAATTTCATCTAGTGTTAAAATAACTCCAAACCCATTTGATTTTCAGGCTGCAAAGCAACAATTATAGCAAAGAACGGCACCCTAACCTCTCCAGCATATGGCCTAGAAAACTACCCAAGCAACCAAGAGTGTCTATACAAGATCAGAAATCCAGGTGGACAACCCTTGTCTCTGAACTTCGGGAACTTTGATGTTGATAGTTCGGATTTCGTTCAAGTATACGATGGTTCCACGACGAGCGGTCTACGACTTCACTCCGGAAACGGTTTTACAACAGCGACAAAACCCAAAATCACCCTCACAGCATCTAGTGGTGAAATGTTAGTGAGGTTCGTGACTGACGCTTTGCACAGCAGCAAGGGATGGGAGGCTACTTTCTCGGCTGGTGAGTTTTAGATTGAAAATAGGATTACATATGACTCGCTATTTTAGCTAGGATATCAAGAAAGGCATCCCTTTGAATTTCACGTCATTTCAAAACACATCCTGATTTTTTGACGTCATGGAAAGTGCATATCTAGAACATCGCCGCGTCATTTGAGTTTTTGTTTTTATTTTTTGTCAATTTAGGTATATAAAAAGTAGTTTTGTTCGCAGATTCATGGTATAAATGTATACTTATTCCATAATCATATTTTGTAATCATGCCACTTTTTCCACTGTCTCTTTCCTCAATATTCACGCTCTAATTTGAACCGTCTTGTTGTTTCAGTCAATGCATGGTATCGTATATGTACCTACTGCTTTCGAATGCCTCGTATGTTCTTATCAACTTCTCTATAGTATATTTATATACCTTCCCTTGTTTTCGCGCTTGACTTAGATCAACATCACGCAAACCACGTTGTCGGACTTATCAGTGACATTTCGTAAGCCCAATTGCTTTGTTAGGTTCGCTATAAATGTGACATTGCTTCTCTCTTCAAGTTTCTCTGCCACAAATAAACAGTCCATACTATAGAACCAGTCTTTCAACGTGAACGATCAGTGGTTTATTTCTTCTTCTTGGTACCTGGATATGCAAACTAAGTTTTTTATCTCTTTGGTCAGTCACCAAGGAGCCAACTCTTTGTAGTTTATAGATTCCTCCGTTCTTTTGGGGTTCATATACCTAACCATTCAGTATCCTCGTTGGAACTTTGTGTGCTTGGCATTCCACGCCAGCCTCTTCTTCAGTTACTGGTTAATGGAGAATGTTCCTCCTGACAAAAATCAAGTAGTTTTCATAAAAGAGCTCTAAAACAACGCATTTTAAACTTATCATTTCAGCCTTTTTCTTTAAAAAATTATTTAAATACTTAAAAGAGAGGAATGAAATAATGCATTCGACATTTAAAGGGATTCGTTTCTATTTCACCATTTGGCAACATCGGTTATAGCTAATAAAGGACAATGAATCTGTTACCTGTATGAGACAAACAAAGATGACATATTTCAGAGGCGTGCTGTTCTGTTTACTTATGTTCCGAGTTCCGAGACATTCTGTGACATATGGAATTTTGTGCACCTAACCTATCTTCTTTTTTCTTCTAGCATACTACTAACCTAAACTCCGATGTAGCATTCTAGAGGCGCTGTTGCCAATATGTGAATTAGAAACAAATACCTTTAAAAATTGAAACCTACCATTTGAAACATCAATTTGAATACTTTTCGGAAGTAAATTTGAAAAACTCATGAATTAAACTCAACTTTATTTTGTTCAAACTTGCATTTGCTGTAATAACCCAAATTGAGGAACATTCCCCATTGTCGGCGATTTTTCGAGAACGAATGGAGATTCCTCTAGTTCTCTCATCCCATCGACGAACTCTCTGTGAATTCTTTCTTCGAGCTGCAAATGTCACATCGTTTGTACCACTTTTACATGTCACGGCATTCGTGCACACTTCTTGCTGTTCGTTTTTTACATCGGAAGGCTCTACGAGGTCCGGCTATCAAATAACGAGACTGATTACGAAAGAGGGTTTCATTACAAAAATTATTTTACGTTCAAATGCCCCCCAAATACTCCTCTCCCTCCCTTTCGCCACACACCTTTCGATATGTTTCTTCCATTGATCGAAGCAATGCTGGAGGTCTTCTTTGGTGAGAGCCTTTAGGAGCTCAGCCGTTTTTTGCTTTACCGCTTCCATCGATTCAAATCGAGTCCCTTTCAAAGCAGATTTTATCTTCGGAAACAAAAAAAGTCTCACGGTGCCAAGTCTGGCGAGTACGGCGCGTGTTTGAGCACTGGAGTGCGTTTATCGAGCAAATACCGCTTCACGGATAGCGCATTATGGGCAAGTGCCTTGTCCGGGTGCAATATCCACGAATTGTTCTTCCACAACTCGAGCCGTTTCTTACGAACTCATTCTCGGAGTGTTGCCAAAAATAACAAATAGTAAGTCTGGGTAACAGTCTGACTCTCTGGAACCCATTCAGCCATCACAATACCGTTAATTATTGTCGAGAAAAACGATCAATTATTCTTTGAATTTTGCGTTCGTTTCAAAATGCTACTGCACAAACACGAAAACGTGTTTCGGTACGTGAATAGAGAAGATTTCCAGATACCCAATGCACTACTCGTTTTTTTCCCTACCCTTCTAGGCCGCCTTTTGGGCGCGCAGTCTCGTTATTTAGTAGCCGGACCTCGTATCTTCTTTTAAGGATTGGTGATTTCTGTCTTCTTTCAGCTGTTGGCGATATTACGTCTGTCTTTGAATAGATGTTGTTTCTCCCCTTTCGCTATATTCCAAGAGCATGTTGTTTCTCCTCTTGATTTTGTTGGTCCCTGCGGCAAATAATATAAGACCTTGCTCATTTCTAATAGTTTTATCAGCAAATTCCACAGCTTTACTCAATTTTGGCAAATTTTTATGTACAATTCAGATTCCCATGAGATATATGTGATTTGTGTGAGCTTGTTCACGTTCTCCTAAGTTGTTACTCAGGATAAGGGTATCTTCCGGAAACAATTTTACAGCTTCAAAAATTAACACAGTTATGAAAATTGTGTTTTTCAAACAAACAGAAAATTCTTTTCACTTCTACTCTTTATATCTTACGTTTGTTTGCTCCTGTATCATTTCAAACTGTGGAGACTGAATGAGCTGCAATATCTTGTTTGTTTTTTCGTTTCTCTCTTACATTTATATTTCTAAAAGCGTTACTATAAGAGCTAAATATTGTTTGTTGAAAATTCATCATGTTTTAATTATTTATAAGAAAGAAAGGTGAATTGTGGTATGATATTAGTATGAGTACCTCTCACTATATCTCTCTCTCTCTCTCTTCCTCTCTCTCTCTTTCTCTCTGGCAATGATATATCATTGATATTGTATTGGCTTTGGTGTTAATTAAATTAATCATTCATAATATCCCTTTATCTTCTATACAGATGTACCATTAGTCATTGAATTTTCTCACAAATTGAAATATGTGTTGTGAATGGGTGAGGTTTTCACCACTGTATCTATGGATGAAAGGGAGAATCTTTGAGAGGATTAAATGAAGATATTCAGATATACATTGAGATACTCAAATACCTATCTTTTGTTTTTAGATTGTCCTCCACTCCAACCAGGAATAGGAGCCCTGGCCTCAAGCAGAGACACTGCTTTTGGCACAGTCGTCACCTTTAGCTGTCCAACAGGACAAGAATTTGCAACTGGACGCAATCGAATCACCACGCAATGTATGCCGGGCGGTAATTGGTCAGTCAGCTACATACCAAAGTGCCAGGAAGTTTATTGTGGCCCCGTACCCCAAATCGACAATGGGTTCTCCATAGGATCTACAAATGTTACCTACAGGGGACAGGCTATGTACCAGTGCTATGCCGGCTTTGCTTTTCCAACTGGCCAACCTATTGAGCGGATATCATGTTTATCTGATGGGCGATGGGAAAAGAAACCAAATTGCCTTGGTAAGGAAAGCAAAATAGCTAGCAAAGTGAATATTGATTCAGTTTTTGACATAGGTAATGGGATTTTTAGAGCTGCGAAAAATGTTTTCCAAACTATAATTGATGTTCAGTTGCCCTTTTGTTATGAGCAAACAAGTTTTCATTTACGAATTTTAAATTATTTTACAAATGTTTTCATTTCTATCCTGAACTTTTAATTTTTTTATTTTTTTTTTTTTTTTTTTTACAAAATATCCGCATCAACCATCAAGGTTATTAGCGGTTGACATAGTATTTTACAAAAGTTGTTTACAATTTATGTAATATCTTTATGTCGGTTAAGAATGAGATGAGTGGTTGGAGTTTTTTTATTTTTGATATCTACACAATTGAAAGATTCACGAGAGTCAAATCGAATTGTAGCACTTCTTCACAATGACATTTTTATTTACAATACCTTTTCAGAAAAAATGAAACGAATATAGAATTTGAAAACACAGGTTTTCAACCGGACCGGAGTCACGATCAGAGCGAACAAACTCGGTGCTAGTAGGCCGTGGTCGAATGGAACCTGAAATACCAAACGTTTCGTCTGTTAATTCGGCAGACATCATCAGTGATACGCGTGTTGACTGCGTAGGCGAAAGCTATATCTAGCCTACTAGCCCGGATTTGTTTTACTTAAAAAAATTAATCTCATATGTAAAATAATCTTGAATCATTAATGAAAACATAATTATATTATATTGCGTTCTTTATTCAAATGAATTATTGTGCATTTCTTTCATATACAGACTTCTTTTAGCTGACCACATTATCGCTAGCTCGGAAATTGTAAGACCAACTAATAATGTGACAAATAAAGCTTGATGAAGTTTTCGTGCTGTTTCATATTTTTTATGATCTGGTATGAACCAATTTTCAGCGTCAGTTGTAAAATTTCGTTAATTGCAGTCTATTTTTTCCCTTTCTTATTAAATGAACATTTAGTTTTTTTATCAACTTTTGGAAGCACTATCATCAATTTAGTCATGTAATTTCGTCGTTTCTCTTCGAAAGAGCATTATCAAAGTTAGGTAAAGATGATAATAATAATAATCTTTATCAATCCCAAGAAACAAGAATGTTTATAACAGGGATAAAATTCAAAATAATGATTAAATAAATCAGTTACATATAGGTACCTACAGCACATAAATACAAACACAAATATACATATATACATACATATTTACATATACACACACATACATATATAAATATATACATTTTTGAATTATAATGGTAATTAAAAACAAAAAAATGTAATATGGAGATCAGAATTTCAATTAGAGGAAGAAAGCAGAAATTTTTTCAATTCCGATTTAAATTTTGTTTTTTGATTCATTTTTAGTTTTTCTGGAAGATTATTATATATTTTAACTCCTATTCGAAATATTGATTTCTCCCCAAATGTTGAGCGATATGATTCAACTAGTAGTTTTTTTGCTTGTCTTTTGTATTATAGTCATGGATGGTATTTATTTGATTGAATTCCTAATTTGAATGTTTGTGATTTTTTCTAACAGAATGAATGAAACAACACATTTTCAATTGAAAAATATACTGAACGTGGTATATATATATAAATTTGACGTAGGTTCAAGATATGGTAATTTGAATATACATTTTATTATTTTATTTTGCAGTTTCTTGAGAGGATTCATTATTGATAAATTAGCTGTTCCCCAAATTGAAATTAAATATTGTAGATTTGAATATACCAAACAGAAATATATACATTTAAGATATTTTAATCGAATAAAATTTCTAATCCTAAATATTATTAAAAATTTGCAGGTACCTTGATATAAATGCCCATATAGTTTTTGTTACAGCATACAAGTATGGTTCAACAACTAAATATGATGATAAATTATTTTTTTGCTAATTCTTGGCATATACATATTTTGAGAAAATGTTTCTACTGTAGGCCATGAAATGAACGAATATAAAAAAATCTAATATCCCCTAAAAATATACCTACCCCTTTCGAAATTAACGTCAAATTTCGTGACTCTCTAGAATAGCAATAGAAAAGTTGAAATCTTATTGGAAGAAATTTTTCAAGAGACAGGAATATCGAAAAATACACTGCAACACTGCTCTTACTGTCCTTCCTGCAACAAAGATTCAAAAGAAAGAGTTACTCAGTTCTCCAGCTTTTGCGCCGAATTTACGAGAAAGGGATTAATCAAATGACTCCAACATTTCTGCCTGTGATATCGGATCGAGAGCAAAAACTTCTGAGTTCTCAAACTCTTTGAAGAAACTTAGGAGACTAGATGGTACAGTCAGGAAACGATGAGCAGGATATTTAAAAAATCTGTTTGTCCGCTTAGAGGACACCTTAATAAAATGGGGCTGTACAACGGAGACCTCACCTGCAGATAAAAACAGCACTACACATCTTATGCGAATGTCTGGCACTGAATCACAGGAGGCAGGCAATATATGGACGTACAAAATTATGACCAGAAGAATAAGACGAACATCCAACACGGCACCTGTATAAACTAGTACAGGGAACGAGACTGATGGAATGGGTGTCATGAGAAGATGGGAGAATGAACGCAATAAGCCCAAGAGGCTGCAGTGTTTTCTGGAGACTTGGACTAAATGGACAAGTCAGACAGCTCCCAAGGGACCAAAAAAAAAAGACGAGATCCCAACTGTCCTTCCTGTAACAGAGGATCAAGAGAAACAATGATAACATTTCTCATTATAGCATAGCACGTACTCTCTGCCTGCACCGCCACGAAACGGATCAGGTGTTCAAACGTTCGGCAAAGTCCCACTGTTATCAGATACCCTGGAAGATTACTCTCCAAATAAATCGGCTTCGTTAGGACTCTATCACACGAGAAGCTTCACATCTCTCGCTCCTATACGGAAGCGTTTATCACTCCTACCTACCGCCCATTCACACCGGGTGCCTTTTTAGTTCCTGGCTCCTTGAGGTCAGTCGTAGAAAAGGGATCGCACATGAAGTGTTGCCATATACCTTCTCTACCGTCGACACAAACCCCGACGACAAAAACGTCAACGGGCAAGAATGGGATAGATAAAGTTGCGAAATCTACGTTGAGCACCTTGCAGAGTTTCATCCAACTTTTGGTCCTTATGAATTTCGACACTTCTATCCCAAAAACCGGGTCGGTTGCAGACAGCACTAATTAACAGCTTCACATCGTAATCTATCATGATAAATAGAAGACCCTTTTGTATTTTGAGGAGGAGACGTGGCTCTACGACTCGAGGGGCAGCAGACGTGAGATCTCTCGTCTTCCGAAACGTGGCGGCTCCCGCTCTTCATCTGAAAGCTCCATAAGACTCGTTGCATTTTGGCGTTAAGAGCCTTCCTCTCTCTTGAGAGCGATAGACTTGAAGCTGCCCGTGTGAAAGCGCGTTTAAGAAGCTGGATTTATTTGGTCGAATTTGAATAGGTGCAAGCAACAATAAACCCTCTCGGGTTGCAGAGCAGAGTTGAATAGACCCATTGATTTCAGACCTGTTTACCTCAATACATGGCAGAATTTGTGATGATAATTGTTTTTCAAATAACACTCCAGATTCTTAAGAGATATTTTACGCGGAATTGGATGGTTGGATTCTGTTGAAGCTTTTTCGAAGAGAAACGTTTAGAAATACATGTATTATGATACAACGCTGAATAGTAGTTGTTTTGGCTACTGAAAGTGATTGAAATATTAAAACTTCGTATTTCAATAAAAGTTTAATATGGAAGCCAAAGAACAAACCGTCGCAGTGAAACTAGATCATAACGAACATTTTGCAAATATCCCAAAACTGGTTACTGATAATCAAGATCTGAAAAAAAAAATATATAGTTTCCCAAATAGGCAACCTTTTGTCTGATTCAACCAACTTTGTGAGTGTCACCATTTTCGGGATATTTTTTTCTGTTAGTTGTTCTTATATCTTACTGCTTTATTTTTTGTTACACTATATAACAATAACAATAAATTTTTGTAGCATCTCAATGTGCTGCATTACCTGATGTGCCACACGCAAACGTTACTGTTTTGAATGGATTGGGACGATCATATGGCACCATAGTAAGATACGAATGTCAGCCAGGCTACATAAGAAGTGGACCTCCAGTAATTCTATGTATGAGCAATGGGACTTGGTCTGGAGATGTCCCTATATGTTCAAGTAAGAAATCAACTTTTGAAACTTCAAATTAAAATGTAAACTTTTGCTTCATCATAAAACCGTCTGATTGTTAAACATTCCAGGAGCCCAATGTCCAGAATTCCCAGAAATAAACAACGGATTCATCACCGACCTATCCAGACAATATTTCTTCAATGATGAAGCCAGAGTTCAATGCTTCAAAGGGTACAAACTGATGGGCAACAGCATCTTACGATGCGGTGAGAACCAACTCTTCAACAACCCACCCAAATGCGAGGATATCAATGAATGCATCAGCAGCCAATGTGATGTGGCTTCTACTGAGTGTGTTAATGCACCAGGATCATTTCACTGTAAATGCCGGAAGGGATTCGAAACAACGAATGAGTGTCGACCCGTGGGCGATTTGGGATTGATTAACGGGGGGATCCCCGACGAGTCCATAAGCGTTTCCGGTAGTGAGGCTGGATATGACAAAACGGTAATAATCATTCACTGCATATGATGCAATTCTGTTCAATATGTTTCGTCGTAGCTTTATTAGTCGTAGCTTCGATAGCTCTCCTAGTCCTAGAGAATAGTTAATTATTCAAGGACCGAGAAACATGTCTGTTAGGTTCTTATGAATGAAGTATATTGCCGAAAGCCGAAGAGATTGTCGATACTATACTTTCTCCATAACTTATATCAAAATTATTTCAAAATAAAATTCATTAGTAAAATATATTACGAGTGAGAGTGACAAAAAGCAACCAGAAATAATCATTCAAACATATTCCTATTCTCGATATTTAATAATTATTTGTGAACTGATTGGACAAGAAAAAAAACAAAACTGCAATCGGTGTAAACTAGATCCAAGCCAAGATTCTGCTCCTGCTTCACGTAGCTCCTTACTATGACGCATGACGCTCATTTTATTATTACGAGCTATCTGGTGAAGTACACTCATTTCCACTTTCTAAGTCCATGTTCTCATTGTTTTTTTTTTGTTAGAGACCATATAAGAAATATAAAGCTTACTTTCAAGTGAAAACAATTAAAAAACAACTGTAAATTAATTTACTCTTCTGTCTCGAAGGTAGTATGTTATGAAACAGATCAACTGTCATTGATACTTGCGCAATTTATGCTTCTTTCAATAGTCACAGAAAAAAACCTTTTTCAAAATTTTTACTGTGCTGTCTCCTCTAAGATTCTTCGCGACATTTTGTATAACACCCTCCTTTATTCGCCATGTTATATGAATAACAACAAGAATTTTTAACATTTTCATTGAATTTCAACTCTTTTTGTGGTAAGGGTTTTAAATTCCTTGCCCACTTTGAAAATTAAAATTACTATTGTGAGTGAAATTATTCATCATTTTTTTCATTCATTGTATTGTGTAGCATTTCCACTGAAGGATATCCATTCAAGATTGAAATGTGAATGTTTAGTATACTGTATACCTACTACGAAAGACAGAAAGAGAGAGTAAATTCTGTATTATTCAACATTCCTATGAGAACCAATGGTTTTTTCTAAATGTATTCTTTCACACAATTCCTCAAATGACTATCATTTCGTATTTTTTCATCTATTTTTCCTTCAGAAGTTTTCAATTTATCATATAGTCAGGCTCACTGAATGAAGAAATAGAGAGATCAAAAGAGTATTCTCTAAATGATAAACTCTTCATAAAATACTTCAGTAAATCTTCCATTATGGAATTTTCTATAAACAAATAATTTTCTACCAAAAATAAGCCACAGACGTTTACTACAACAATCAGAAATGTTGATTCCACACAATTTTTCAGTGAAATGAAACTCTGGGTTTCGGGTTTATTTTTAACGAGATTGTCAACATGTACCTCCTCACATTTTGTTTCAATTATTTCCATTAAGTCTATCGCAATATTCTTAGGGAAGTCGAAACACCATTTTACTATTCCATCTATTCCAGATGGTTCGTCTGAATAATGGCGTTGGATGGTGTGGCAGTGCCATTGATGCTGGTTCCAACTGGGTAGTCATCGACCTGAGAGCTCCAACAATCATTAGAGGATTCAGAACCGCTGCTGTTACAAGACTAGATGGAAATATTGCATTCACTTCAGCAGTACGTATCCAGTACACTGACGACCTAACAGATGTTTTTAAAGACTACAGAAACCCCGACGGCCTGGCAGTGGAGTTCACCATCGAGAAACCCACACTTTCCATTCTAAACCTTCCTGTGCCAATCGAAGCACAGTACGTCAAGTTCAAAATACAAGATTACATAGGAGCTCCGTGCTTGAAGCTGGAAATTATGGGCTGTACTAGACTGGAGTGTTCCGATATCAACGAATGCGCTGATAACAATGGCGGGTGCCAACAGAAATGTATCAACAGTGCTGGCGACTATTCTTGTAGCTGCAACGTTGGTTTTGAGCTATATACCAAAAATGGTACCGCTGCCTACTTCATTGAAAAGTCCGAAACCGGAGTCCGCATTGGAGATGTTTATAACATCAACAAATCCTGTGTACCTGTTATGTGTCCAAGTTTGAACTCTCCTGAAAATGGGGTTATTTTGTCAACAAGAGAGAAATACCATTTTGGAGATTTGGTGAGGTTCCAGTGTGATTTTGGCTACGTTATGACGGGTTCTTCCTCGTTGCTTTGTACATCCACTGGGGTATGGAATGGTACAGTACCGGAATGCAAATGTGAGTTATTTTTTTCAAATAGCAGAAAAGCAACTGTCAATTCTGACAAAATTAACATGAAAATTCTTCATTTTTGATACTTTCTGATAAGAAAATCAATAATATCACATCAATTTTCATCAGACGATGCTACCAACTCTTTTGTGAAAAAGGTTTTTTCGACATATCATTTAAATATTGTGAATTCAAGTAGTTCAGACGTCCACTGTCTATTATGATAAAATGTGATTTGAAATATCTGAAAGAACAAATAAAACTGAAAATTGAAATTAATAGATATAATAACAATTATAGTAAGCAATGGAACGTGAAATGAAATTACAATAAAATAAAAATAGACAACAAATTAAAAATTGAACAATCAGAAATGAAATAAATAATCAAAAAAGATTTTAAAGTTACCTCACGACGTTTCGATCAGGTGATGACATCACCCAAAGACTATTGTGAATAGTGACAATGGAAACGTCGTGAAGAAACTTGGTTTTTGAATCTTTCTTAAATTTTTATTTAATTTTTGATTGTTCAATTTCAAGTCCGAACTAGTAAAATTCACCATGAAACATTGTCAATCACTTTCAAATTAATGTACATTATTTATATATTTTTTAAATTTTCACGCAATTAGGTACACCAATATAATTCAAAAATTGATAAATAGGACGAACTATTACATCATTATAATACATAATAGCATAACTTTTTATACTAAATTAGAATATCTTCAAAAACTCATTGAATTTAACTCAAGCTACATATTTTCTCTTGTAAACCAGTCATCAATAAATGTTGCTAATGAAGTAGGTATTATTAAATTCTATGAAATATTGAATATTCAATGTTTCACAAATATGGTGCAATTTTTTCAGATGCACAGTGTGTTTCACTTCCTGACGACAAAAATGAAGGTCTCAAAGTTATTCGTAACGATGAAGATAGTGTATTGGTGCCCTTCAGGGATAATGTCACTTTACACTGCAGTATGACTGGCAGGCAATTGCGAGGAACTTCTGCAGCAGGTTTCAGGCAATGTGTTTATGATCCACAACCAGTGAGTAAAAAAAAAATTAATTTATTTTGATGTCTATTTGAATTGAAACTGATGATTTTTTAATTTGGCGATTGATATTTGGATATAGACCATATTTCCTCCGGTCTTTCAGACCATGAGGCTTTATATGTAAAAGTACTTATGAAAATCAAACACTCTTGGGATCATAAATTTGGTAGAATTTACAGCAGAAGGAACTACAAAAAATTCAGAGAATGTTGTGAAATAATCAACTGGAATAGTAGGTATGCTAGATGATGAAGAACCATTACTTGTTTTTCATAATACTATGACAGACATTTTTGAAAAAACTTTAACTGTGCATAAACTGAAAATTAAAAAAAAATAAGAAACAATGGATTACAACTGGTATAAAAAAGTCAGGAAAAAATTTAAGATCATCACATACAATTAGGAAGTATACCGATAATATATATTTCTTAACATACTTTAATAAATATAAGAAGGGCTAAAGATACATATTATGCAGAGAGAATCAGAACAGCTAACAATAAAACAAAAGAAAACTGGGCTGTAGTGAATGATATTAGGGGTAAAAATAAGGCCAATACCATTAAAACTAACCTAGCTCCAAAAGAACTCAATGATTTCTATTGCTCTATTGGTGAAAAACTAAAAGATCAAATCAAAAATAAAAATTCGACAGGTATGGATGGAATGTCTGTAAAAATATTTGAAAATCTACCTCTAAGTGCATTACATGTTTTGGTTGAATGCATTATTAAATCATTCAGGTACCTATGGTATATTTCCCACATGTCTGAAAATAGCTATGGTTATTCCATTACATATGGACGGATATCTGTAAGACTCCTCAAATTTCAGTCAGGCCCATTTCTTTATTATCGAACCTTTCAAAAATTTTTGAAATATTGGTAAAAAAAAGACTAATGTCCTTCTTATCGATAAACAATGTGCTTCTAGCCTTCAGTTCGGCTTTCAAAGTTCGAAAAATACCACAGATGCCATTTTCTCCTTTCTAGACAATGCATACTCTAGCATCAATGCTAGATAGCTCAAAAGCTTTCGATTGCGTTGATCATAAGACACTGCTGCGGAAGCTCAGCCATTATGGAATGAGAGGAACAAATTTGAACAGGACGTCGACAGGTGGTGAAAACATCAAGTGGACAGTCTGATCTCAGTGACATAAAACATGGAGTACCTCAGGGGTCTATTTTAGGACCAATTTTGTTTTTAATATACTTAAATGATCTAATAACCATTAACATCACAGGACAATTTACTGTATTTGCCAACGATACTACCATTATATGGAGTAATAGAGAAATTAGCCAACTATCAAATATGATAAAAATAGATATTCCACAAATTCAAGCTTAGTGTATCGCGAACTCCTTGTGCTTCAACCTAAACAAAACGAAACTAGTTACCTACTTTTGAATGTATACTGGAAGATTTAGATTTGGATAACCACTACATAGAAAACAAACAGCACACTAAACTCCTAGGCATTCGCATAGACAATAAGTTGAATTTTAAAAAACATCTTTCCCATTTGAGTAAAAAAGTATCTAGTGGATGTTATGCTATTAGAGTGATATCAAATGAACTAGGGTACACTACAGCTAGAATGGCCTACTTTGCATTGATCGAATCTCATATTCGCTATGGAATAGCTTTATGGGGCCATTGCAATCTACAGTTACAAAATACAATATTTGTGCTACATAAAAATAAAACTAGCATATACACTCCCGGAACAAAATGTCACAACACCAGACTTACCTATTCCAAAATTCACTTCTACTCAGCATTCTCTGATTTATGAAAGTATTCAGGTATATAATCACCTTTCTACCGTTCTAATAATAGCACAGATATCAAAAAGTTCCGAAGTACAGTTAAAGATACTTATTTTTATAAAAAAAGCTTATTATTCGATCCATGAATTCTACCATAACAACCTGTAAATTCTACTTGATTTTTCAATGTTCACCTAAACGCATCTGTCTTCTTAATGTTTTATTTGTGAAATTGCTATGTTTTTATTTTGCATAATTTATGACATACATTTAATTTTTTTACAAGACTTTGTCGATAAGATGCTAATCTTCCGACAAGAAAGCATACATTGATTGATTGATTGATATTCAGGATCTCATAATTATAATTTGAGATCGAACAGATCATGTAGTTCATTTCATGCATAATAGACCCACTTCAAATCTCACATGCCTGTCGGATCAGTTGAAAATTACAGAACATTAGTGATTGCTCATAACCACAAACTGGGTCAACTTTTGCTATTCTTTTCCCGGTCAATATAATTAGAATTTCTGGCAATTTGTACCTGTGAAATTAAGACCGTAAATATCATATATAATCAATAGAATCTTAATCTTAAATAAGAATTTGCGCTTCTATCAATGGAATGTAGATTTTTACAAAACTTCAAACTTCGACTTGTTTTTTTGCAGGGTTTACCCGACTACTGGCTTAGCGGCGTCCTCCCATCCTGCCCCAGAATCGATTGCGGCGTTCCTCTGCCAACGCCGGGTGCAGAATACGGCCAATACGTCGATACGAAATATCAATCATCATTTTTCTTCGGCTGCCAGAACACCTTCAAACTTGCAGGACAAAGTAGTAAACATGACAACGTTGTGAGATGCCAGGCGAATGGAGTGTGGGACTTTGGCGACCTGCGTTGCGAAGGTCCAGTTTGCGAAGATCCCGGACGTCCTAGCGATGGAATTCAAGTAGCCAGAAGCTACGAGCAAGGATCAGAAGTATCTTTCGGTTGCAACCGCCCTGGATATATCCTCATCAATCCCAGACCGATTACTTGTGTGCGGGATCCCGAATGCAAAGTGGTCCGTCCTCTAGGATTAGCTTCTGGTAAAATCCCAGACTCTGCCATTAACGCTACTAGCGAAAGACCTAACTACGAAGCTAGGAACGTCAGATTGAACTCAGTCACCGGATGGTGTGGCAAGCAAGAAGCTTTCACTTACGTCAGCGTTGATTTGGGAAAAGTTTACCGAGTCAAGGCTATTCTAGTCAAAGGTGTTGTAACAAATGATATCGTTGGGCGACCCACTGAGATCAGATTCTTCTACAAGCAAGCTGATAACGAAAACTATGTGGTTTACTTCCCCAACTTCAATTTGACCATGAGAGATCCGGGAAACTATGGAGAGCTAGCTATGATCTCGTTACCTAAATATGTTCAAGCTAGGTTCGTGATTCTAGGTATTGTCAGCTATATGGATAATGCATGCTTGAAATTTGAACTTATGGGGTGCGATGAACCTGAGAAAGAGCCGCTCTTGGGATATGACTACGGATATTCTCCTTGTGTTGGTAAGTGCTGAACCTTTCACCTAAATTCAAAAAAAATATATAACTTCGGCATATTAAAGGTTCAGTTCTAGTTATTCACAAAATGTTTCTATCTATCACGAATAGAAATTGTAAGTCATAGGAAACCACTTCTCATATTTTGAGGATCACTTTCAAATGAACCAATCAATGTAATATATCTTAAAGATATACGTTTTCATATGATTGAATTGTTTCATGAGAAATATTACAATTCACAGTTGCAACTCTTCAGAAATTGAGAAAGAATGACAAGGATCACTTAGTGTATTATACGTTTTTTTTTTCAGATAATGAAACTCCAGTATTCCAAAACTGTCCACAGCAACCAGTAATTGTACAGAAGGATGCTAATGGTGGAATTCTCCCAGTAAACTTCACAGAGCCAACAGCTGTAGATAACTCCGGTAGTATTGCTAGATTGGAAGTTAAACCTGCTACCTTTAAGACTCCGCTTTATATTTTCGAGGATATGGTTGTGAAATATGTTGCTTATGACTTCGATGGAAATGTCGCAATATGTGAAATCAACATTACTGTACCAGGTACTATTTCGTGAACATTATCATTTCAAAATGCAAAAATTACATTTCGTCTCCTCAAAATTTTCAGATAATACTCCTCCACTGCTTAGTTGTCCTCAAAGTTACGTAATCGAACTAGTAGACAAGCAAGACAGCTATGCTATCAACTTCAATGAAACCCGTCGTCGATTGAACGCTACCGACGCCTCCGGTGAAGTAACTATCAAGTATGTTCCAGAGAGAGCTACCATTTCCATAGGCGACTTCGAAAACGTGACGGTGATCGCCACAGACAAATATGGCAACAAAGCTACTTGTCACTTCCAGGTGTCAGTCCAAGCCACTCCCTGCGTGGATTGGGAACTGAAGCCACCTGTCAATGGGGCACTGAACTGCTTGCCAGGAGATAAGGGACTACAGTGTATAGGAACCTGTAATCCTGGGTACCGATTTACAGACGGAGAACCTGTGAAAACGTTTTCTTGTGAAACTAATTCGCCATGGAGACCGACGTCTGTGGTGCCCGACTGTGTTTCAGAAAGTAAGTATTTTCATTAGGTTCATTATGGAGAATGAGTCTAGAAGATAAAAGGTACATCAAAACTTTATAAACTATTTTTGTTTCCAAACAGTTCTCACAGCCTAGCACTACTTATAAGAATTATAGCGGGTTAAAACAGCGATGTCTGGTATTGGATCAAGAATTATTTGTTTTTGAGATTCGGTTTCAAATAATTAGTATTCACTGATATAAAATGAAATGCAATAAGTTCGTTAGTTTTTGCTTGAATTGCGGTCAGTACCAGCCTATGGTTGAGTTGATTGGTTAATTCAGTTGAAATTAGGAACTATAAAGTTATACACACTATTAGGAAATTTTAATGGTTTACAAAGAACAAATTAACAAATATATAGTGGAATAATATTCCATTACATAAGGTTCCAGTTCCAATCATTCACTGAGGTATTGTTGAGACCTGTTACTATCTGAGATAGTAACAGGTCTCAACAGGTCTCAACAGGTTCATATCTGAACGAAAAGTAACGACTTTTTTTTGTGGATACTGTGACTGACTTACTTACCTACAGGTCTATTTCCCTACTAATATCGAATTCCTTCAGCGATAGTTAGTAAAAAATAGCACCTCAAAAGGTATTTTTCAGGGGTCGGCAAGTAGTTTTGGGTGGGATCCGGATACTGAGGGAAAATTCTAACGAAGTCCAGAAAAAACAACAGAAAATAATTAGGTGCTACCTATGTATTATTTTGGTTTCAAATCAAATTCTGAATTATAAAACACATGACCTAAAATTAATGTGATAAACTACACTGACGGTCTTGAGCCAGTTTTTTATAGTTTGATTCTGGATAGGAACAGCAAATTAAAGTGTGTTTTCTAGGTGGGCGTCCGTTAATCTCGAAAGATACATGTTTTTCAAAAAATTCAATTTTGAAAAAGATATTTCACATATGTATGTTGAGCCAAACATAGTGGCCAAATGTATAGCTGGTTTCTTGCAATTTTCATGTTTGAGCCAAAATTCTTCAGTGAATATCGTTTTATACATTTGCAAAGACGCACCTTCTCACAAATCAATTATCTCTATTTGAATTGATGGCTTTGACAGATTCAACAACTTGGCAGCCACATCTGTCCATTCTGCCGCAACATCAACTAATTCGCACAAACACACACAAACAGGCTAGATAGGAAACTAATCAAACCATATTAGTAGTAGGTTCTTGTAAAACAGGTTAACTAGGCAACTTATTAAAATGAAATAAATACTAAGTTGAACTATATGTGACTCAAAAATATTATTTAAATTGATAAAGGTTAGTATACCTTATCTATGTATTAATTTATACTTGGTATACAACACATTACAGTATTTGGCGGTCCGAGGTTCGACCTGTCGCGGTCTGTTTGCGGACCGCGGTCCGCCTGTTGCTGACCGTTGGTATTTCTTAATGTCAGAAAGTTTTTTATGAGAATCGTATTTTGCCAGAGCATATCTAAGGAGATAAGTATTTTTGGCGCAATGTCCATCAAAATTATGGCACTGTATTTATTGCAAGAAAGAATTTCATTCTTTTTTTGTCGTTTCTGCCATGAATAATTTCAGTTTGCACAAGTAAAATTAGTAAAAGGTAGCGCAGTAATCAAAATGAAGCTGAATAGTTATTTGAAGATTGTAACATAAATTTGAAAACTAAGGTGGCAACTTACTCGTAAAAAAATTATTATTTTGGAATACTATTAATCAAACCACAATACTCTAATTTTTCAAGCAATATTTGAATTCAATGGAAGGCACTTATGAAATCAAGAAATACGTTTGAAATGCTGTCTCACGTAAGTGATAAACACGAATGACGCCATCTTTCATTTCCTCGAAAACGTCTACACGGCTGTAAATGATAAAGAAGTGGCGGCGGCAGTATTTCTGGACCTTTCTAAGGCATTTGATTGCTTGGAACATGAAATCCTGCTGCAAAAACTCTTCCATTATGGAATCCGGGGAACAGCCTTAGAATGGTTCAGATCTTATATTTCTGGTAGAAGTCAAAAAATAACATTGAGCAACAACACTTCTGATAGTGGAAAAATTGTACGCAGAGTTCCTCAGGGGTCAGTCCTAGGCCCAATTTTATTCTCGCTATATATTAACGATATGGCAAAACTTGATATATCTGGAGCATTTACCTTGTTTGCGGATGACACTACGGTACTTTAGCGTAATAAAGATTCTTATACTTTGACTCGGTCTTTCCACTCAGATTTAGAAAAAATAAAAAATGGAGTGAATCGAATATGCTATCGCTGTTACGAAAACAAATCTGATAACATTCAAGTGGGACTTAAAGCAAGTAATACTAGGTGCACACATGATTGAAAGTAAGCCTATAACTAAATTCCTTGGTATATTTATTGACAGTAATTTAAAATTTGATATGCAAATTACTGCTTTAAAAAAATATCTTCTAATTGTTTTGCCATAAATGTCATATCTCGTGAACTCGGATTTTCAGCAGCATACTATTCACTTATGGAGAGTCATCTCCGGAATGGAATTCCATTCGGGGGCTCAGGCAGCCAGATTTTGATTCAGAGTATATTCGTTATTCAGAAAAGAGCTTTGAGAATAATATTCAAATCGAAGATGTGTGACTCGTGTAGGCCACTTTTCTGCAGAAATAAAATATTAAAAATATTTGAAATATTCACTCTAGAGACTGTCTGCTTACTTCACAAACATAAATAACAATCTCCAATGTATTTTTTGTGAATACTATATAGTCTTTAAAAAAACAAAATTTTATGTATTTTTTACATTTTATGTATTTATAAACATGACACCCTTTGTCGACAAATTGTATTACATTTTAGACAATAAAAATCTATATTTCTATCTATCTATACTTGATTTTTTTTATTATAGATACCCAACAAGCTGATTATCACTTCACTGCTTCAATCAACTATCGAGCAAACGGGGCAGTAGCCACATCTTGTCTAACCCAGTACACTGAACTGGTTTCACAGTATTACCAAAATTTGAACAACGTCCTCTCCGAAAGATGCTCCGCTGTGAACGTAAAGATGAATGTCACTTTTCACAAAGCTGTTGCCTCTTTGATAGAAGAAAACGTGGTCAAAGTAGATTACATTCTGGAAATCGTCCCCATAGTACGTCAACCCCAATTATACGATCTCTGTGGCAGTACCTTGAATTTGATGTTTGATCTTTCTGTACCATATGCCAATGCTGTGGTAGAACCACTGTTGAATGTGTCTGCCATTGGAAATCAGTGCCCTCCGCTGAAAGCTCTCAAGTCAACAACTAACAGGGGCTTCACTTGTAATGTAGGAGAAGTTCTGAATATGGACACCAATGATGTACCAAGATGTCGTGAGTATTTTTATTATCGCTCCCTTATAAATCAATCATTTTCTATAAGCAAGTGTTTTTGAATTGTGAATGAGTTTTCAAGTTTGAATTTTCGAGTTTTCATGCATTTCACCTTCCAGTGCATTGTCCTGCTGGAACTTTTGCCGGAGAAAAACAAAAAGAGTGTACCTACTGCCCAAGAGGATTCTACCAGAACCGTGACCGACAAGGAGCGTGCAATAGATGTCCTCAAGGAACGTACACCCGAGAGGAAGGATCCAAGAGTGTTCACGATTGTGTCCCTGTTTGTGGATATGGTACCTACTCTCCAACTGGTCTAGTACCATGTCTAGAGTGTCCCAGAAATAGTTACACGAGTGAACCACCAACTGGAGGATTCAAAGACTGTCAAGCCTGCCCGGCAAATACTTTCACTTATCAACCATCTTCGCCAGGAAAGGACAGATGTAGACCCAAGTGTGGTCCAGGGCAGTACTCGCCAACAGGACTAGCACCATGTTCGCTGTGTCCCAAAGATTTCTACCAATCGATACCCGGACAAACATATTGTAATGAATGCCCCAGTAACATGGGAACTGAAGGTGCCGGAGCAGCCGGTAGGGACGAATGCCATCCAGTTCAATGCAAGGACAGTGCCTGTCAACATGGTGGCCTCTGCGTTCCAATGGGACACGGAATTCAATGCTTCTGTCCTGCAGGATTCTCTGGTAGAAGATGCGAGATCGACATAGATGAATGTTCCTCACAACCTTGTTACAATGGTGGTACTTGCATCGACCTGCCTCAAGGATATAAATGCCAGTGTCCTCCTGGATATTCGGGTATCAATTGTCAAGAAGAAAGGTCCGATTGTTCTAATGATACTTGTCCTGCAAGGGCGATGTGTAAAGACGAACCAGGATATAAGAATTACACGTGCCTCTGTCGTTCTGGATATACAGGAATTGATTGTGATGTGACGGTGAGTAATATATAAAATAATTCTTATATAGTTGCCAAATCTATAGTATATATGATATAATATCTGTCAATTTTCTGTTCAACAATTTCATCGTATTCTAATGACATTTCAGATTGATCCTTGCTCAGCAAACGGCAACCCATGCAACAATGGGGCTACTTGCATTGCATTGCAGCAAGGCAGGTTCACCTGCGAATGTCTACCAGGTTGGGACGGTCAACTGTGCGAGAACAATATCGACGACTGCTCCGAAAAACCTTGTCTACTTGGAGCCAACTGCACGGACTTAGTAGCGGACTTCAGCTGCTCGTGTCCACCAGGCTTCACAGGTAAGAGATGCCAGGAGAAGATTAACATGTGCGGCAGAAACCCTTGCAAGAACGGAATCTGCGTGGATAAACTGTTCTACTATGACTGCGTTTGCAACCCCGGTTGGAGCGGAGAGACCTGCGAGTCCAACATCAATGACTGCCAGCCCAATCCTTGCGAAAATGGCGGCCATTGCATAGACGGTGTGGATGACTTCACTTGCACCTGCGAGCCAGGATTCACCGGAAAAAAATGCCAGCACACTATCGACTTCTGTTCTTCGGAGCCTTGCCAAAACGGAGCGACTTGCACGGACCTGGTGGACACCTTCTCCTGCAAGTGCCGACCGGGCTTCGTCGGTCTTCAGTGTGAAGCTGAAATCGATGAATGTCTGAGCGATCCTTGCAACCCCGTGGGAACTGAAAGATGCGTCGACTTGGACAATAAGTTTGTCTGCATGTGCCGAGAGGGTTATACAGGCAGTTTCTGCGAAGTCAACATCGATGACTGCCACTCCCAACCTTGTTTGAATGGAGGATCCTGTAGAGACGAAGTGGGTGCCTATCGTTGTGTTTGTCAACCTGGCTGGACTGGTGCTAACTGCGAGACGGATATTGGAAGTTGTCAAACAAGGCCTTGCCAGAATGATGCCAAATGTATTAATTTGTTCCAGGACTTTTTCTGTGTGTGAGTATGAATGTATTTCAGTATTTCATTTGTTGCTTAAGAGGAAATGCCTGACTTTAATTCTCATATTCAGATGAAATTTCATGACCTATTAATAAAAATGTCATGTCAATTGTACATAAGGCTTTCTATAGAATGTAAACTTTCACGGCCGGATATAGCTGTGTGAAAGCTATTTTCCGTTTTTTTTGCCGTGGTCTGCAGATTTCCATGTCTGACGTTCCATCTACTACAGTCTTTCTATAATTTTTGAAAATATAATCAGTCTATAAGTATCCACATCTATGTACAGAGATCCTCAAAGTCCAAGAACCAAATATTATTCAAAGTAATAGAAATGTTAATGAATTCCGTGTAATTTCACAGGTGTCCTTCAGGAACCGACGGAAAGCAGTGCGAAACCGCTCCCGAAAGATGCATAGGCAACCCCTGCATGCACGGTGGTAAGTGTCAAGATTTCGGCTCAGGCCTCAACTGTTCCTGCAGCGATAATTACAGCGGCATTGGCTGTCAATATGAGTACGATGCATGTCGAGCGAACGCCTGTAAAAATGGTGCTACCTGTACAAATGATGTACCCGGATTCAGGTGTATCTGTCCTCCTGGGTATACTGGAAAGTTCTGCGAAGAAGACATAGTGGATTGTAAGGAGAACTCTTGCCCGCCCAGTGCCACTTGTATTGATCTGACAGGAAAGTTCTACTGTCAATGTCCATTCAATTTGACTGGCGAAGACTGTCGAAAAAGTAAGTACCAACTTCTATTCAATAGTAGAAATAGAAGTAGATTTATTAGAAATAGATGTCCTAATATACATAAAGATTTTACAAATATATCATTCAATAAACAAAATACAAAATAAAGTAAAATATACTCGTATAAGACCTATAAAGTAGAATATAGGTAGTGTGTAAAAACGTAGCAGAAGTAAATGATGAAGAGATTAATAGAAAGAAGAATGATGAACAACTCAATTGGAGTAATATTGTGCTCGTAGATATTGAGATAAGGAGCGTTTGAAGAGTTGGAGGATGTTACTTTGTTTAATTTAATTAGTAAACTTGTTATAGTCCAAGAGCCCTCTGTGAAATATAGAGTTCATTGTTCTTGCAAGGTTAAATCGTTGGACAACCAAGTCATCTCTTCCCCTTGTATTGTATTTGTATATCTGATGGTTATAATGTAATGAATTTGTTGAAGTAATGTGGTGCTTTTCCAGTGAGTATTTCAAATATGAATATCATAGAAAAAATATTGTAATCTATCTTTCAGTCATTCAATTCAGATCAACAATCATTGATAATATAGGAGTATATTTATGGCATTTTAATAACAAGCGCATTCCTCTATTTTGTAACTTAGATAGAGTAGATATATAATTACTGTCTAGTAATGATATCAGTGTTAATTGATGAATAAGTATGTTTCATATTAGACAAAGTAGTGTCTCGAGACTTCTGATGATGCTTTCGTTGATGACACCATAATATTGAACGAACTATAAAAAAAAGTTCTTTCGTATACATTTAGGCAAAATTTAAAGTTGGTTTTAGAGAAATTCATTCCATACAAATTTTGATGAAGTGTCAAATTTCCTTAAGAATTGTTTGAGTAATTTGGAGTTCACTCCAAATCAGTAACAACGTATTTTTCACTAAATTGGAATGGTATATAAAAATAAAAATTAAGTAACGTTTGACGTGGAACTATTATATTCTTTCTTATCAAAAATAGAAATATTCATATCTGAAGACCAATTTCTGATAAATTTTTTCAATGAAATTGTAAAAACGAAATATTTCTGCAAACAATGTACCTATATGGCTATACATTTTAACGTAAGAGTTAAAGTAACACAATTTTACGACAGCCTAGAAGGGACACAGTTTAATAAAAAATAAAATTCTACAAATTCTGAGTTCATGCTAAGTCGAATTATAAACAAATTGAAAGTTCGAATAGAGAATTTAATAAAATTCCTTAAATACGACGTTTATTTAATTTTTACCGGAAACTCGGAATTTTGGAAAAAAAGCTAGTTAGTACAATTTATTGTATTATTTATTATTATATATTATTATATATTGTATTATTTGTTATTATAACCGCAGAAACTTCAAAAGAAGTTTCTGAGGAAATATCTGAACAATTGGCACATCTCATTAATCAAATATATTAAACTGGCAAATGTCCATCTGAATTCAAAATTTCAGTTGTTACGCCGGTATATAAAAAGGGCGACAAATCTCATACTTGTAACTATAGGCCGATCTCTCTGATTACATCAATTACAAAAGTTTTTGAAAACTCACTAAAATTAAGAATGAATGGTTTCCTTGAGAAGAATAACGTGATATCATCCCTGCAGTACGGGTTCAGATAAAAATTATCGACCAATGATGCAATTTCCAAAGTTACCAGTGAGATATATAAGTTGATTGATGAAAGTAAACCAACCGCATGTGTGTTCCTGGATCTTGCAAAAGCTTTCGATACTGTGGATCACCAACAGCTGTTGGACTCCCTGCAAGATTCAGGAATATGAGGTGTGGCAAATTAATTAATTTCAGATTATTTGAGTTGCCGCAAACAGTATGTAAAAATAGGAAATGGATTCAGCGAAGAGAAATTTATAAAATATGGAGTACCACAAGGTACAGTGCTAGGGCCACTACTTTTTTCATTATATATAAATAGTCTACTCACCATCCATGAAACTATAGGTCAAATTGTGAGCTTCGCTGATGACATTGCCATTCTATACACAGCAGAAACCTGGGATAGTCTGAAAATGAAAATGGAAAACGATCTGTTAAATATTATCAATTGGTTTGACCATAAGTTGCTTACCGTAAATTTTGACAAAACTTTTTATATACCTTTTTCGAGTTACAGAACTAACTTACCTAAGTTCAAGGAACTCACACTGGGAAAAACCAATTAACAGATTGCCATCAAACAAGCAGAGAGAGTCCGATATCTAGGGGTTATAATAGATTGTCATTCAAGATGGAATCATCATATCGATGAAGTAACTAAAAGTCTAAGACCATTGTTGTATAGATTCAGATGCTTCAATAGAATATTAGATACCCTCAAAACTCTATATTATGCTGTTGTGGAGTCACGACTGAGATTAGGTATCCTTAGCTGGGGTGGTGTACTTAATACCCATCTTCAAAAACTTGAGATAGTACAGAAAAAAATTTTGAAAATAATTTACCAAAAAAAATATACGTATCCGTCAAAAAAGCTTTTTGAGGATGCAGCTATCCTCAGCGTCAGAAAGTTATATTTACACGACATAGCAATTTTCATAAGTAAAAATAAATACACCCTTCAACAGTTAGAGCATAGTTATACCACAAAAAACAAAGCAAAAATGTTCGTAGAAATACAGACAACAAAAAAATCGGTGGGACAACGTTGTTTCAGTTTTTTAGCAAAAAAACTCTATAACTTTCTAGACGATATGCATAAAAATAAGCTAATGAAAGTCAACTCGATACCACTAATAAAAAATATATTCAAAAAGTATCTCCTCAATGTAGATCATGAAATAATAATAAATATAATTGATAACAAATAACTTATCAAAATTTCCCTACTTTCATCGCTATAGAAATGAACTGAATTTTCGATTGTCATTGTCATTTACTTTTTCTCAGGTCCAAAATATTGTCATTTATTTTTTTTCAGGTCCAGAATATTGTAAATATTGTAAATACTCACACTGAAATGCTGTTCGAAGATTATTTGGTAATACAATAAGGAAAGAATTCCCATGCACAACCTCAGGGTTTTAATGGGTTCTCTCGATGTTTATTACCTATATCTAAAACATTTAATTCAATTGATTGTTTTCTTTTTTTGTATTCTATCTGAAATTGCATATGATGTATTGAAAACTCTTTCTATTGCTGGTAAATAAACATTATTATTTTCACTCAAGCGTTTCACCTTTTATAGTGAAAATCATACAATAAACTGTATTAATTAGTTTTAATATGTATTTTCATCAAGTATGGGCCAGTTCTATTCAGTCGGAATTTTATGATTATTTTTTCAAAATAATTTGGGGCCCTTCTTTGCCTTTGTAAAATTGTTATAGTTCAAATAATCATTTCAATTCATAACTTGAAACGCCATTTTTCACATTAATCATTGAAGAGAAGGAATATAGATTGAATAGAAAAATAAGTACTGGTTACTTTGTAAAAATTTCAATAAAACAATATGGTCTTATGAAGTTTCATCAAGATTTATGATCTTCAAAATCTGATCATTTTCATTCATTCATTCATCCTTGACAATATTCCTTCATAATCAATGAATCTAATCCATATCAAGAACCAAAAAATTAACTGAAAGTCCATCGATCCCAACTTTGTTTTGGAACAATTTTTCATTTTCCAGCTATTTCTGTTGACTACGACTTGTACTTCAGTGATGCTACACGAAGCTCAGCATCGCAAGTGATTCCTTTCTATACGGGATCTAAAACTAGCCTGACCATAGCTATGTGGGTTCAGTTCACGGAAAAAGACGAAAATGGAATTTTCTTCACTCTCTACAGCGTGTCGTAAGTAAAACTCACTTCTGATTCGGTTTCTTGATTTTCCAAAGCCACTGCTTTTATATTTATCTTCAGGTCCAAACACGTTGCAAATGACAGACGACCGATGGTCCAAGCACATTCCAACGGAGTCCAGATATCCATTTTCCCTGATGTCCAAGATGTGTATTTGAGTTACAGAGATTATACCACAGTAAATGATGCCCAGTGGCACCATATCGCCATCGTATGGGATGGAGAAAATGGAGGAGAGCTCAAATTGATAACGGAGGGCTTGATTGCCAGCAAAGTCAAAGGATATGGCAGCGGACGTAAATTACCAGAATAGTGAGTTGAAAAATTATTTCTTCATTAAGGTTTGGGGACTCAGAGAAACCTCTATATTTTCTATATATAGCAGCCTGTTATATCAATTCTCAGGCTCCAAACTCTAGTATTTTAATCATATTAAAAATAAATTCACACTGCACGTAAACCATAGATCTTATTATATACTTGAAGTATATTGTTCGAGTTGAAATGTGGACAATAATAATTTTCATACGAATCATACACGAAACTGAAAAACAGTTATGAAAATTAGAAAATGAAGTTTTTTCCTGCAGAAGACAGATTCAAGCATGAATAATAGTAAAGGTATAAGTTAAGAATCATGGTCCGGTCAATTTAGACCTGAAAACAGTAATGAGATAACGAAAATTGCGACAGAGCTAAATTTTAGTGAAGACCTTTATTTTACCATAAAAAATAAAAATTAGAAAGTCTCAATCTGTCCCATGAGCGCTTCAAAAGTTATTTGGGGTCAAAGGTCAAAATTTCAGGTTTTTTGAGTTTTTCACGAAAATCATAAGTTTTATAAAAAAAATACCTTAGACCAAAGTTGTAGATCTCAAAATTCTCTACAAAAATGGTTCCTATGATTTTTTCTGTAAGTATCACCGTTCCTGAGATATCGCAATTGTAAAAGTCACGTTCTATGTAATATGCACACATTAGCTACGTATATACACATTCAGGTACTTAAGCAAGTAAAAATGCCTGTTTATGTCTCTTTTATGTATATACTATATATTTTATTCAGAAAATATACATTTAAAGGACCGTCAGTCCCTTCGAAAATCCCCTCTACCCGTATGGCCTTGAATGAAAATGACATTTAAACATTTGAAGCCAATTTCGATTTTTCTGTATTGGAAAATCGTTTGATGTCATTAGGTAATTCATAATGGGCAATCATTTCTTTGTAAAATATAGGTTTTTTTGAAAATGCACTAATTATAATTTTTTTCAATTGATATTTAAATTTTGTAATGGAATAGTGCTTGTTCAGTTTCTCTGGAATCGAATTATATATAATGATCTCATCGTGATATATTTTTCGAGATTCTTTGTTAACAGATTATTGAGTTGATTTGAGAAAAAGGTAAATACTTTCGATTTATAAATATAACTGATGTCGAGTGAATTCTTTGGTATTTTCAGTTGGTTCTGAGATAGGAAGATAAAAATTCATTAAGACCTTACTTAGCCTTAATGATTTCAGTATTGTATTTGAAGGAGTTTTGTATGTGCTAATCAAATAGTAAAATTTTGAATTAATGAGTGAAAATTAAATTAGTTTCAGGTGCTTCAACAAACTGGATATTTCACGAAAGAGTTTCATTTATATGTAAACCTAAAACCTCAACGGCAGTTGACTTTTCAATTTTGTTGTGTCCATACTCTATACATCTGTCCTTAAGTTTATGGGACATTTTCTCTTTTATATTATTTGAATAAGTTCTTGAGTCACACTGAATTTGTATTGCTCTTCAAGGTGAATTATTCACTTTTCTACTTCTTACTTTCAGTTTGACTGTATTGATTTCTTCTGCATTTTTTTTTTTCAATTCTTGACCTTGATGGTTACACGGTTTACTATTAATGTCATAGTATTTCAGTCATCATTTTTATCATTTGTATCTAACCTTGTTTTTCAACTTCTTGTACTCTTTTATGATTTTTTTTCGGAAGTTTCCAAGACAATATATTTTTCCACAATCTTACAAACTATCAAACTATAATTATCCTGTATTATCATATTTTTCATCTTAAGTCACTGTGGTAAATTTTCCTTCTATTATTTTTTTCAAAAAGTTATTTTCTTGTCTCAGGTTAAAAATCATGAGAAATCTTGTCATTTTTTTTAACTATCCAGAAAATCGGCATTTTGTTGAGAAGGTGAATCATCGTCTTCAGACATGGAATTCAGTCCATTTTCATCTTTTTCCATTTTCTTGGTCGTTTTATCAATATCTATCACGTCCACAGCAAGAAACAAACAAATGACAAAGCTGTTTTTTGTTCTAGTAAACAAACTTTTGTTTTGTTACTTACAATTGATCTTGTCTGACTTTTGCTGCTGGTGACACCACCAGTTGTAGTTTCAGACCACATTTTCATTCTCTTTCTGTTCCAGGTGGGACCTAATACTATTTGTGAATTAGTTCAAGTTCCAATAAGAAACACACCAAAATTAAATAACATTCTTTCAAATATATTCAAACATTGAAACTTCCAATAAATCATTTTTATTACCTTCTATAATGGCAATGTTATCATTCAAAATAAATGATGAAGTACAGTTTTTCTTCAACTGATGTCAAAAACTGTTCTTCTGATAACATAAACTAACCAAAAGCCAGCTTCCAAAACCTATGTCCAAAAATTTCCATTTGAAAGTAACCCAAAAAAATTTTTTACTGAATCCTGTTCATCTGGAAACAGAGAGGTCAATAGTTTTGTAGACGCGAAGAAGATAAAAACATCCACTGTTGTTTATCTGCGGTCACTCCGAACAATTTTATTCGTTCCTGATTTTTTATAAAATCGTTAGGTCCCATAATTTTTGTTTTCCTCTCTTTTCGGATGATATTTTCTTTATTTGGAGCCAAAATCTTCGTAATGGATAACTATGCGCTGTAGCAGTCTAACTGTATAACTCAATAATTTCTTGACAAAATGGTTTAGACTTTCACGGCTGAGGTTTTCAGTGTCATTGCTTTTCGAGCTTTACGAAGCCTAAAAGGTAGTCATTGGACAGCAAGCCATGATGGTTAAACCTCCGAAGAAGGTAGCCACTCGCGCCAGCGAAATGTCAGGAAGAAATTCCAAAAATCCACGGCTTCCAATAATTTCTTTTTCGCTCTCCTACCGCTGTTGGCCCACGCTAGAAGAAAAATAAAATAGTAAAAGAAGAAGTACCACAAGAGGCATTTATTGTTTTTAAACTCCTCATCTGAGTTTTGACTGCTCTCAAATAAAAAGTTTGGAATTTAGAATTTTTTTTTTTCAGTGCTTGGGTAACCCTAGGAAAGCCCCAAACAGGTAACCCGAAAGCCTACACTGAGTCAGGGTTCCAAGGCCACCTCACCAAAGTTCAGATATGGGGCAGAGCTTTAGATGTCACCAACGAAGTCCAAAAACAAGTTAGAGACTGTAGGACCGAGCCAGTACTATACAGGGGTCTCATTCTGACCTGGGCGGGATATGAAGAAACAGTAGGAGGAGTAGAACGAATAGTGCCATCTCATTGTGGCCAAAGAAATTGTCCACCTGGATACAAAGGTCAGAAATGTCAAGAACTGGAGGTGGACAAAATACCGCCCAAGGTTGAATATTGTCCTGGAGATTTGTGGATCATAACCAAGAACGGTTCGGCGTTGGTAGTGTGGGATGAGCCGCATTTCAGCGACAATGTGGGGATAACGAAAGTTCAAGAGAAGAGCGGACATCGACCTGGACAAACGCTGTTATGGGGTATTTATCAGATAGCATATGTCGCTTCTGATGCTGCTGGTAATACAGCAACATGTACTTTCAAGGTTTCTGTATTAGGTAAGTGAAGCTGCTTATGTCTTCATTATATGAAGGTAACGATAGAGAGTAATAGTTGCAAACAGGTTATAAACAATTATATTAGTAAAAAAACTGATTTTCAATAGTATTTGGAATAAACTAATTCTATATCAGTGACAAATCTCACAAAGTACATCATAGATCACCATCGAATAATCATATCATAGAGCAACCAATATATGTAGATGCCAATAATTGAAAGTAATGGATGCAGACAGGTTATAAACAAATATATTGGAGGAAAAGTAGATTTTCAGTATCACCTGAAAGTGATCACTCTCGAATCATATCATAATCCTTGTGAAATTAATTCTTTAGTATGGTTTCGATACTGTTGTATTTTTGGTTCTTTGATTTCCCTCTCAGTTGTTACTTTTCGTTCGATATTCAATAGTATCTTGGGGATTATAATGAGGAAACTCGAAGTATATAGAAGTAAATGAAATAAAAACCTCGTCATATACCACAATTTTGGATGAGGCAAGTTTTTTATGTTTTTTAGGATGTTTGTAAGATTCCTATTTCTTCCTTCCATGAAGGGGGAGATACTGTAAGGACCATTCCCTTTTACCATGGATCAGATGATCGTTAGGTTCCAGAATTTATGTTTCCCTCTTTTTTCGAATGATATTTTCTTCATTCAGTGCCAAAGTCTTCGTAACTATATAATTCGAAACCGATGTCAACTCAATATTACATGAGTGTTGTGTGCAACACTCATAAGGCCACATAACTCCGTTGGATATAATCTGGTATCAGTAACCCTCAGTCCCAACACAAGTTCTTGACATACCGCAGTGTTGAAAACACATCGATTTCTGCTGGCGTTGATGAATTTATCAATTTCCGATTTCAGCCCAGGAATGATCAGATACTTTGATTCTGAAGTGGTCATTAGTTACTGATGCCGACCAAGCGCTCTCTCAATGTGACGACGCTTCGGGGACACTAAATACCCGACCAGCACAAACTCTTCAATAAAAAAATATTAGTTATAATGATTTTTCCTCAATTCATCATCAAATGAAATTATATAATTCATTATAATTCTTTTTCAGCTGAATTTTGTCCAGAATTGCCAGACCCAATCGGTGGAATCCAGTCATGCAAAGACTGGGGTGCCGGTGGCCAGTTCAAGGTTTGCGAAATCGGGTGCAACCCAGGCTTGAGATTCTCCCAAGAAATTCCTCTTTTCTACACCTGTGGAGCTGAAGGATTTTGGAGACCAACGAATAATCCAAATCTGCCATTAGTATATCCAGCTTGTTCTGGTAAGATATGGTAACATAAATATTGACAGTATTGGATAATATGGCGGCAGAGAGAAAGTTTATATAGGTTGCTCACGTTAACTTTCAAATTTTTTTGTACTGTTGATATGTTTTATTGCTATTATCCTTACTTACTTTTAGTATTTGTTGGAACTATTTCGACAATGCTTTAGGCATATTGAATATACGCAGGTCTTATCAAAAGAAATGATTAGTTGTGAAAAGAAAAGAAAGACTGACAGTTTTCGAGTTTTTTTCGATTCGGCAACTTCTGAAATTTTACTATCACTTACAAAATGAAATGTTACTAGTTTCATTGCTGTTGAACGCATTTCAGTGGAAATTTTAACGTTATTGTGCTGGATATACAAAATTACCAAAAATGACGTCATTCTCTTCTTAACGTGAACAGCCTATATACAGTTTCAGTCTTTTTCAAATTCAAAATTGAAGTAACAAATGAAAATATATACCAATACATTTTTTGATTCGTCATTTGCTATTTTTGGCAATCGTGTCGATATTATTTTCTTCATTTCATAATAATTTTCATCAGTTTATACTAATAACTGTATAAATAACTGCATAAAAAATGAATTAGATCCTCTTCATTCTTCGACATTATTTCAGAAAGTTATTATCAATAGAACTCCTTCCTACCTCTATAACAAAATAACTTATCGAACTGATGTTCATAAAGTGAATATCAGGCGTAAAATGATCCATGTTGTTAGACACTCCATTGAACTTTTCAAAAGGTCATTTACATATACAATAGCTGAACTCTATAACAACCTACCACCTTCCTTTCGGTTGAAATCTGTTTCCAGTTTCAGGTACTGCCTGAAAGAACACCTTCTGAAAAAACAATACCTAATACCCGAATATGTTCTACGACTTTTGGCTCTTGCAGGTCATAGCTGAAATAATTGTAGTATTCTTATGTTTGTATCGATATCTGCCTCATCTCCCCTCTTTAAACAAATTAAATGTTGTACCCCCTATCACAATTACAATTACAATTTTAGGTGCTTTGTTTTTTGTTTGTTTTTTATCTTTTCTATATTTTTTTTTGTAAGGTGCAAGAGGTAAAATGAACTCTGTTCAATCTTGTATCCTATTGACAAATTCGTATTTTTTTTCTCCAAATTGAATCATGTCTCTCTCTAGGTTTTTGGACGTTGCTTCCTTTCGGCGCATTTGTCCATAGGAGCTTCGTCGGGGGGGTGCAGCAGTCTTGTTCGCAGCAATGCTGCCACCCCTTTTTTATCAAAACTTTTTATTATATAAAAAAACACTTATTGGTAAAATCCTGTCTCCACGTGGACATCCGGTCCACCCCGGCCTCCAACCGGCGTGAATGGGAGTGCTGTTTCTCTTCAACACTTATAGACTGTTCACAAAAAAGTTTAATTCAATGGTGGCACGTTCTATGACGGCAGATATTTACGACACAAACTGAGTTTCATCTCCAACAATGGCGTTCGCGTACCTTCTTTGTGAACGGTCGCTGTCGGCACGTCCGTCCACCACCACATCAGAAAGAAAACTCATATTGTATCATGTTATTTCTGCTATCAATGAATGCATTTATTATTATTATTATTGGTACAACAAGAACGATTTTCACTCCCTGAAATTGCATCAGTTTTTTACACCCTTTTCTATTGTTTTTGCCTCTTTGATTTGAATCATCAAACTAACTTTTTTTGCATTATGACCTTTTTCAATTCAACAGCTTCTAAACCTGCCCAAAGGGTATTCAGAATCGCGATGTTGTTCCCAAGCTCAGTACTATGTAACGAAGCAGGACAAGGAGTACTCAAACAAAGAGTGCGTACAGCAGTTAACTCCCTGAACAGAGATTGGAACTTCTGTTCGTTCTCTGTCGAAGGTACTAGAGAGTGTAAAGAACTCAATATAGACGTTAAGTGCGACCACAGGAATAGGCAAACGAGACAAGTGAGCAACGATGATGACGGTGGTACCTACGTCATCAATGCCAGTGTACCCGTTGGCAAGTGAGTATTTTTCATCTTATTTCTCTATCGTTATGATTTCATGAGATCAATGTACACGAAGGCATGGTAATCAGTCTGTATTTTTTGTCAACTTTTATTGTGGATGTATTCACTGTTTTATATTTATTAGTCAGCCACGCAGTATCTTGAATGAAAATAAGTAGTTGAAAATTGAGAAGTCTGTTATGCTTTTAGAAACATTTCATTTTCATCTGGACCACTTGTCACTATAGTTAATGTCGTCAATGATATTCACAAAGAATAGAGTCAAAATGTCTTTATTTTCTGTAGGCTACTCGCCTCTCATTTTTTTTTACTCGGATACCAGTAAACCGGTTCTATTTTTCATGTTTCACTACATGTTCTCCCTTCAAATCTCCCGGAGAGGATGGTATATTTCCAGTTCTTCTTCAAAACGGACTGGAAATAATTTTACCTATTCCCACAAAATTGTATAGAGCTAGTCTGGTATGGAACCCAGTTGGTTGGCAGCAAGGGTGGTATATATACTGAAAGTGGGCGGGAGAGACCCACACCCCAAATCAGTACGACCAATCAGCCTTACATCATTCCTCCTGAAAGGACTTGAGAGGACACTGGACGGACATATCAGGAGGGTAGCATTATATGCTTCTCCCCTGAATAACCACCAGTATGCTTATCAAACCGGCAAATCAACAGATTAAGCATTAAGCAACCTCGTTGAGAAAATCTCCCAATCCCTTGACAACAAGGAGATTGCGATTACTGTATTTCTTGATATTGAAGGAGCATTTGACAATGCACTAACTAAATCTATAGGATTGTCTCTGGCTAGGAAGGGTATAGAATCGACCATAACTGGCTGGATCTATGCCATGCTAGTAAACAGAACTGCAACTACGACTCTTCAAGGCGAGGCTCAGGGTCACCAGGGGCTGCCCTCAAGGTGGGGTACTGTCTCCCCTTCTGTGGTCGCTCCTGGTGGATAGTCTGCTTGATTCCCTCGACAGAAGAAAAGTTGATCTGCAAGCTTATGCAGATGACCTTGTCATCCTGGCAAGGTCCACGTCGGGAAGGGTAGCTTGTAATATTCTCCAAAGCGCATTGGACGTTGTTTACAGTTGGTGCCTGAGGGAGCAGATGTCTGTCAACCCCAGCAAAACTGTGTTAATCCCCTTCACCAAGAGAAGAAAATTCCATTTGGAAGGGAGGTAAAATATCTTGGCATTATCCTTGATAAAAGACTCACCTGGAACATTCACTTGGAAAAAGTTTTACACAAAGCCATACTGTCACTATGGACATGTAGAAGGATTTGTGGTAAAACTTGGGGTTTAGGTCCCAAACAAATCTATTGGATTTATGTGATGATTGTCAGATCAATGATCACTTATGGTGCATTTGCTTGGTGACCGAAGGCTTTACAGAAAACGGCCCAAGCGAAGCTCTCTGGCTTACAGAGACAGGCTTGTCTGGCTATGAGTGGTGCCATCAGTGCCACACCGTAAGCGATCATGGAGATCCTTCTAGATCTACCTCCTCTCCACATTTTTCTGGAATGAGAGGCTAGATGGACTGCATACAGACTTGTGCACATTGCCAATTGCACAAATCAATTCAATGCAGAGTGCAACAGACTGTTGGTTGACATTGGAAGTCACAGCATTCTGGAAATGACCTCCAACTACGAACTGCCTTATAAAGTACTATTCCCGAGTATAGAGGACTGGATCCTCCGGGAGAAGGAAATATTAAGAGCATATAGTTGTTGGTTCACAGATGGATCAAAAACACCTTCCGGTTCCGGTGCAGGTGTTTTCAGTCGCAGACCCAGGACAGAGTTATCTACCTGCCTAGGAACTTATGCGACTGTATTTCAAGCGGAGATTTACGCTATTGAATTTTGTGCGGAGAGATTGTATAAATCCAACCTCACTCACAAGTCAATAAAAATATTCTCGGGCAGTGAAGCGGCGTTGGAAGCTATTGGCTCCTACCGAGCAACGTCTAAATTGGTAGCAAACTGCCAAAAACGACTCTCCTCGATAGGAAGACTTAACAGATTGTCTGGATTACTGGCCATACTGGCCTGCAACTGACTCACTTGCAAAGGAGGGTGCTGCAAGTGGCTTCATCGGACCAGAACCTGTCATTGGCATCGCTTTGGGCTTTGCCAAATAAACACTGAACACCTGGATGGCAAGAAGATTTATGGACTTCTGGCTGAAACTTCCAGGATTGGCTCACTCCAAGGCGTTTATTCACCCTTCAAAGCTTGATACCAAACAATTTTTGGACTGCAGTAGGGATGAACTACGATGTCCAACAGGCCTTCTTACATGTCACTGTCATTTGAATCATCACATGCAGATACTTGGACTGTCGGAAGACAGTGTGTGTCGTCCCTGTCTGGGAAATGATGAAACAGCAGAGCATATATTGTTTGCCTGCCCCGCAGGGGACCGAATCAGGTTCTTTGAGTTCGGCAGATCCTTTCTCTCACCATCTGACCTGAAAGACCACTCACCATACAAACTAATCGGCTTCGTTAAGAAGCTGGGTTTTTTTGGCCGAGTGTGAATAGGTGTCAGCCACAATAAACCCTTATGGGTTGCGGTGGAGGGTCGAATATACCCACTCACTTTTGACCTACCTACCTACCTACCCTACATGTTCACGTATCTATTTCTTTCAAACAAAAATTAATGTTTGTTTTGAGTTTATTCAACTCAACGATGGGTTTTGTGTTTAAAATTAGAAGCCTACGAAAACCACAATAATCTTATGTGCTCTGGTGTTTTTCGAAGGTCGCACACTGCCCGATACTCCCGTAGACCAGTCACTGATGCAATTCGAAATTATAATTTTATTGTAATACAATGTCAGTCCACAGCTTATAGATTCAGTAAAATAATGTATTATCAATTGTCACTGTCAAAGTGGCATAATGATGGCAATTATTACAGATTTCTTCATATACAATAGCTTTTGCCTGCGACTTCATCTGCGTGAACTACATAATTAAACGGTTTTATTTAGCTTGCCCTGTTCGTTTGTTGGGGTGAAATTTAGTAGTTGGTGTACACATATTAATTTTGATGACGATACAGTTTAATGAATTCTGTCCAAGATGTCCGCAGATTCAAAATGGCGGATTACATATTGTTCCACAACTATGGGTACTAGGTAGAAGTCATCACACCACTCTCCTCAGCAATCTACGGTATTGAATCGAATCGATAGATTGGTGAAATAAGCTCCCAGAAATGGGGCAGGCGAAAGAGCTCATAAAGAAACCGTTACCCAGTTTCATGGAAGACCTGCTAAACCACAACCGTAAGGGTAGTGGTGGGTCTACTAACGGGACATAGCCGATTCAGAAAACATATGAGCAACATGCGGGTCTGACGGAAGAAACCCAATGCAGGTTCTGTGAAAAAGAGGAAGAAACCGCACTGCATGTGCTCTGTGAATGCGAAGCAATAGCAAGGCTGAGACACGCAGGATGCGGGGAAGAGAAACCAGAGGATGCCAGCTATATGAAGGAGTCTCATCAAAGAGATCAAGCTAGAAAATAAGCTCTAACAACCAAGGAGCATCACAATAGCTCTGAAAAGGTCGCGATGAATTAGGCCAGGGGCCAGCTCCCCTAATCTAGGTTACGCTACGTCCAACAATTTTATTATTTGTTATCTGATCAATATCGTAGATTGTTGAAGATAGTGGTGTGATGACTGCTACCTAGGACCTTTCGAATTATTTTGCAGTTTTTAGTACATTATCTACACCATTATCATCTTTTTTTTCAATAAAACCGTTTAACATTTAATTTCTTTTACTCTTTTTAGTTTAGGTATAATGTCATTTGAAAATTTATGACAAGAGGACGTCTCTTCATGGCATTAGGGGGTACATTTAACCACTTAAGAATTTTCGATCTACGAGAATGTATTAAATAGTAGAAATATACAGTCCATATTTAGTAGTTAGCTTTTAATTACTGAAAGTGAAATTCCTTATTAGTGGATAATAATCCATATATATTATATCTTCATAAACTATCCTTAGGTTAAGTGAAGTTAAATTCCGAAATTTTTTACAGTATTGGTCTTGAATTTAATTTGCATTTTCGGGCTATAAATTAATTGGTACATGATTTGAATTTAACAAAAGTCATTCAATTCATTTTACATATAGCGAATTTACTGGAGATTGCTAACTTTCATTCAAGATATTGAGGTCAATGACAGGCTTTTTGTGTTATAGTTGCATGTATCTAGTTAGTTTAGTTAGATGTGTAGAAGTAGCATGTTGATTTATTGTAGAAATTCCCGACAAGGAAGGCAGTCGTCCAGTGATACTTACGACATAGAAATCTCATTCCCGGCGTTGAAGTAAGCATGCAGTAGTGTTTTTATTTATCTATTTACTCCTCTATTCCTTCTACTATTGAGGAGCGTGGAAGGGTACAAGCTAGGAACGAAAATTTATTCAAACATTCATTTTGAAAGCTTTTCTCTATAAACTCATTTCCTTCAAATGTTCTCCCAGTTTTCCTATATGTAAAACTTCTTAGTCTTTTCACTCTTTCTTTTGTTTTCAGCAATGTTGTTTGTTTTGTAGTTACTTATGGTTCCACCATATAATTTTATATAATTTTTGTAACTTTCCCTACGTTCATCTTCCATCATCCTTCTATTTTTGTTTCCATATACTTGATTCATTCTCCAGTCTCATATTCGCAGCTCGTTTTGATATATCAAGAGGAGCTGCAAATATGATATATCATTTGCATTCCACCTCCAAATGGAATGGAAATATTATTTTCACTGATGATCTATAAATATTTTCAGTTTTCGGGGATTGTTACTAGTCAATAGTCTCCAGTATCTGTTCGGTTATATTTTGTAAGCCGAAAGATTTTAATAATCGACTTCATTTATTTTTTGAATGAATGAAGTTGATGATAATGGATGGCACTTTGGATCTTTCTTTGAGTTTGCCTAATATTTTCCATCTTGTGCTCCTCTTTACTCTTTCATGATATCACCTTTTCTTCACATTTGTTTTATGAAATTTCTCACTATTTCAAATTGTTCATTTCAAAGAAGTTGCTTTTCATTATGAATATTTCATTTTTTTTTTATTTCAAGAGTACTGGTCAACAATCAAAATATTTCAGGTATTTATAAAATATCACATTGTAATAATTTTATATATAATTATTAAATGATTAAATATCGTGAAAATATAAAAAACTTTTCAGTGTCACTATTTTTCGAGTTCAAAGGCAATGGATTTTTGTAGTTTCTTCAAAAATCCAGGGCCTTCAAAACCGAAAATTAAATATTGAAAGAATATACAAATTAAAAATTCATTTGAGATAAAAGAAACAGAATATAACCTAAAATTAAAAATCATGACCATTGTCCATTATTATGAAAGCAATTATGTTCGTTCAAATTAAATTCGGAAAGCAATAATTACATTATTCATAAAAAAAAATTCTGATACGTTGTACAAATTCAAATACTCTATGAAAAAGTCACGCTGTGTAGTTTACAATTATCTCTTTTTTCTATTAGAACTCCTTTATAATACTCATTCAGCACAGGATATTGAGAACCTATAATGAAGTTATCATTAATCTATTTTTGTAGCCCTTTTACGCTCCATGATAATTATCAAATATCGACTAATCCGGGTGCTGTCATGAATTTGTGTTTTTTGGTTATTAGTGATCCAGTAGTACACTCCAACACGAATGAGAGATCTTCTGTGAAAGCCCTACTAGAGAAGTTGATACTGGAAGAAGATCAATTCGATGTACGAGACATTCTGCCAAACACTGTACCAGATCCGTCGTCGTTGGTACTTCAATCCGATTACGCTTGTCCTTCTGGTCAAGTTGTTATGGCACCAGATTGCGGTAAGAATATCTCCCTAACTATGTTGAAAAGGAATCAAAATACTCAAAAATGTATGTAAGGGATTGAAAGTGCTCACTAGTAAAGTACTCACAACTCTCAGTTAATATGAGGATGTATTTGATATCTAGTTAGCCTAGACCCATTTCACGAATATACAATATATTGCGTTAATGTAGCAGAAAGTCAAACTAGACTTGAACAAATAAAATTTCTATTTACTATCACTATTTACGTTCAACCTGATTCTAGTCATTGAGACATACTTAAAGATGTTATTCTAGTTCAGTGTTTTTGTTCAAATCTATGAATCTTCTTCGACATTTTCCCAAAGAAGATCCAATATATTTGATAACAGATACTGAGTGAGGGCAACTTGAATAGCGATAATTATTTGGCACTACTTCAAAATGATGTCATTCCAAGTTTAGCAAATTTATATCCTGATCCAAGAAACCCTCAAGTTCCAGTGAATACGAAATGGTTTCAGCAGGATGGAGCACCACCACATTACCAAGTTAATGTCCGGCAATACCTCGATACATCATTTCCCAATCGGTGAATAGGAAGGGCGAGGATCGATTGAATGGCCAGCGTGATCACCTGATCTTTCATCATTAGATTTCTTTTTATGGGGATATGTAAAGGGCAGATTTGAATGACTTGAAAGAACGAATTACGCTTGCGATTAGGTCGCTCACGCCTGATATGTTACTTGATATTGGGATGTTGCCAAGACGTTCGCGGTGAACATTTTGAACATTTACTTCGTTAACATCTATAGTTCTTTTTCGTATTCTACATTTCATTACGTTTTGCATTACATTTTAGTTTTTTTAAATATATTTTATCTCATTTGTTGCAATAAATTTAAAAGCGATAACATTTTTAAATAGAGAATGAAGATACCTTTTAAATGATATATTACAAACCTATACTTTCTATTCAAAAAAATTTGGGTTGTACCTGTCATTCGAAGGGGGTTGAAGCTAGGATTGTTATTTTTACGTTGAATAATGTTAAATTATAATTTACATTTGACGCGTTTCGGGATTTTTTAAAAATATGTACAGTAATCGAAATAATGAATTTATTCCATTTGACTTTCACACACTGTATAGGTATGGTCATTATAGAAACGCATTGATAAAAAACTAGTTTCGGCAAATATATCTAATTATGATTTTCAGTTCCTTGTTCCATCGGATCCTACTACAACAAAGATACAAAGACCTGTATTTCTTGCGCTCAAGGATTCTATCAGAGCGAATCTGGACAGCTACAGTGTATACAATGTCCTGTTATTGCTGGCAGACCAGGAGTAACAGTTGGACTTGGAGCTCGAAGTGCTGCTGATTGCAAAGGTACTCTTTCAACAAATAGAAATAATTGAACGATTATTTCCTTTGTGTCGAAGATATTGTCATACAAATATTTTTTTCCAGAGCGTTGCCCAGCTGGAAAATACTATGATCATGATGCTGGTTTATGTCGCAGCTGCGGACACGGATTCTATCAACCCAACGAAGGATCTTTCTCTTGCGAAATTTGTGGTTTGGGAAAAACTACAAGAACGAACGAAGCTGTTTCAGTTAAAGAATGTCGTGATGAATGTGGCAGTGGAATGCAGCTTGCATTGGACGGTAAGTTAACGCTCATCTAATTATAACTGAATATATAGGGTCTTCCATTAAGCGCTTCCTATCTTCAAATTTGAATAGAGAAAGAGAGAGAAAGAATATGCTTTATTGTTCAAAGGTACAAAATCTTGTTGACAGAGTTAATGCCTAAAACAATCTCAAATTAAGGTATAGTAAAATACACACACAGAAAGAAACGAACAATAAGTCGACACCGACATTAGGTAAACTAGAATGTCTCATACCTACAACAATATATAAAATCTAGCACATGAAAAACATCTTACAACATATCAAAACAAGCTTCAGTTAGAATGCGTCATTTTAAAATTCTTGTAAACTATAATAGGGTTTATCCAACTGAAGAGCTTTTACTTCCTTTCTGAAATGTTCTACTGAACTTATTTCTTTAATGTGTTTTGTTAAGTGATTGAAAATCTTACCGCCTCCAGAAATTACTGAATCTTTAATTAGTGTCTGTGATGGGATCGGGAGTTTAATATAACAAATGCGCTCTGAGTGGAACGCATCCGAAACGTCCAATTTTCCATGACTCTGGCTCATAAATCCGGCTGAATTTGACCGATGACATGGGTTATGTTGGCTTTGAGGGCCGCTGTGGTTTGTGGCTTATTCATATATACCTAGTGAGTAATGTATATGTAAAGTAATGTATATATCAATTCTGGATAACTGGCATTTTTGAGACGAAAGTTCTATAATAAATAAAGAGTCCCTTGTGATTCCAAGATATAATTTCGGATTTTTCTTCATGACGTAAATAGATCTTCGCTCAATATTGTTTTTCGAATTTCAGTTTTGAACAAATATTCCAGTCAAAATAGAATCTGATGATGTATCAACAGAAGTCATGTCTGATGTACTCGAACTCTCACCGTCCTCGGGGAACTTAGTCGTAATTTTTTCCAATACTTTCTGTATTTTCTTCTTCTTTAGAACGATTTCTTTTTCGGTAGTATATAATATTTACGGTCTGTGTAGCTTTTGATCTTCGAAAAACCTGTTAACTTGAATTCCAGCATCAAAGGTCTTTTCTTGTGTACCTGCTTCATCAGGCATGCTTTGATTTTCAGCGATATCTTCGTTACAAGTATTTAACAAATTTTTTTTTCCTTTTTTTGAACAAACTGTGGAGCTTTAGATGTATGAGCCGTCGGTCTATTAATCTGGCAATCAAATATATGAGGAATTACGCCTGATTTCAATATAATTTTTCCCACTTTCATAGTTTTGATATACATGTGATGTTCTAAGTCTTTTTCAACCTAGAATTCAAAGTAGTGCTCAGAGTAAACTATAATTTTTTTTCAATAATCATTACCATTGATACTTACATTAAAATGATCTTCACAACAAAATTGCGTCCCCCTGGCAGATACAAAGTCGGCCCTCCGCATAGCGTGCTGTCATAACTTTCGTGATTTTAAGTTACTTGGCAGTGAAATAAAAATTGTGTCTGGTGCAGTTACCGAAGAATTCTTGCATTTAGGAACGATGCAATACTTGTAACGTCCTTTTTTATCATTATTCATATTCACGCAATTGACACACTGCAGTAAAAAACAAACAATTTGCTTTCTACAGCTCTAGCACACGTATTTCGCTTATCCGCCAGCACTCCCATGTTGCCGAGTCCAATGATGTGACGTCAAGCTTGACCGCGCCCCATTTCGGTGAACGTCACATTCAACTATTAATTTTAGAGGGAAGATAAAGAGTGAAAATTCAGATTTTTTGCAGATGTACTATTTGAAATATAAACTTTCAAATAATGAAATTAAAAAAAATTGTTAAATGAGCCCATTGTCAATGTTTGGAAGTTCCTGTTGGAAGACCCTATATTATAAATCATCATTACATTCTGTGTCAATAGACCTCCCAAAGCCTTTAGGGTTTAGATGCAAGAAATGAAAAGATTGCAAATAGCTCAATAATCTGTTGAATATTTTGTTCTCTCGAGAATTTTGTTTATACTGGTAAAACAACAAAGAATCCAAATTATTACCATCATTTTATCCTTCTATTTGATAAGCAGAAGCTTAATTTGTGTATGTTTTTTTTTTGTAATAAACATCCATAACTGAACTACCGCATCTAAATAATACCTATATCATTAGGATATAGATACTCACCCATATATGTTGATAAACTGCGTTTCAATGTCAACAATAACTACTTCCAATATTTAGGAAAATGTGAACCATGTCCTCGGGGAACCTTCAGATCTCAAGGAGTTCAATCAGCCTGCCAAGGATGTCCTATTGGAAGGACAACCCCAAAGGTTGGCGCGGTTACTGTTGAGGAATGTTCTTTACCAGTCTGTACGCCAGGCTCTTATCTGAATGGAACATTGAACAGCTGCACACCGTGTAAGAAGGGATACTATCAGTCCGAATCCCAGCAGACGACATGCATTCAGTGTCCTCCAAATACTAGTACTAAGGGACCTGCCGCGGTAAGTGGTCATTTGTCATTAGTATTAATTCAATTTCGAAAATTCACAAACTGACAGCGTGATACCAATTTGATTGTCACTATCGCTAATAGAGACCTACTAGAAAGATTAGTTTCGTATTTTCGCATTTATGATGATGTATCTCTGAAGTGGTTCGTATAATAATTTTTTGCTGCGAACTGGTTTATTTTGGGCAAAAAACCCAAGAGACATTTTTTGTTTAGAATGAAACAGGCTATCGGAAATGAATTTTCAAATGGTAAACAAATGATAAGACAAAAAGTTACATTGGAAATAAATTTTAGGGGTTGCGTTTTTCACCCCTTACAACCATGGGGTAAACCAAATAAATTACTGGCTAAGTGTCTTTTAGGTAGTACAAAACGTCAGGTTAATTTCAATATTGTAACTTTTTTAGTGCTTGTGAAAAAAATTGTTATACAAATTTTATGTGCCCCATTTAAGGGGCTGTATCTTAATAAGGGATGCTCCAATTAAATTACTTTATATGAAAGATCCTATCTTTTTTTCGATGAGGAATCACCTCTTCGAATGTTTTACACTTATTTAGTTACACCCAATATACAGGCCAAACTGGTAGAAATTTTGATACAAGGTACTATGAACATGTCATTTCGGATAAAAAATCGTTTATTTCTTTGATTTCCCCCCTCATACCTGGAACTTTAATATTAGAGAAATCATGTGTGTTTGCTGATGTTATAGATATAGTAAAATTGTGGTTTTACTAGCGTTTAATGAATGACGATACATACTCAACCATTCATGATTCTTTTTCATGCTTGACTGGACAGAATTTTTGGTTTCAGACCATGTATTTTCATTGAAAATAACAACCGTATCATCAGCGTATGATATAATTCTTGCTTTCACTTTCAAACAGAGTAGAGAATTTATGTAGGATTGAAAAAGTATTGGACCAAGAACGGTTACTTGGGGGACCTCTGTTCTTATGGTCACAGTTTCACTTTATGTATCGTCAATTTTAACACATTGTTCCCGATTAGTCAAATAATTGCGAAAGACATCCAACGCCCCACGCACACCAAAACGCTCCAGTAAGTTAAGAATTATTTCATGATCACCAGTGTCAAATGCCTTTGCCAAGTCTAGAAACACTGCAATCCATTTTTTGTTTTCATCAAGTCCCTGTGTTATACTTCTGATATACATTATCAGCGGCGGCTCGTCAGAGGAGGCAAGGGAGGCTTGGCCTCTTCATAACATTTGAGGCTATTCATCGCAATAAATTAAAAGATATTGACAAATAATTATGATTATTTTTTTCTAAAAATGCTTGGTTATCATTACTTTTCCATTAAATTTTTAATATAAATACATAATATGCCCGAAAAAACACTATCGCTCACTACGTAGTACGTACCACACTGTATCCTGCATCAACAAAACTCAAACGCACCGCCCATGAACGAATAACGAATAAACTATCAACCCGAAATAATAAATGCTATACGTTGCAAGGGAGCCATGCCTCCGACCGCTTTAAAAAACACAGGCTCCACGAGACCGATCCAACCAGCGACATACGTCCTGATTTGTAATTTCAGTTGCAGAAATTATAGCGTCAGAGGAGGCTTGCATCCAGTCGGTCTCCGTTAGTAAATGAATGCGTTTGTTTTTTATTTAATTATTTCGGCGGGATACGGTGACGGACCGGTACTAAAAGATATTCCGGTAAATCGTTTTAGTGTTTCTTGATAATATTTGTTCTTTGTGTATAAAACAGGCAGTATTATATTATAGCAGTGCTTTTTTGGTAATATTTAAAGTGTTTTCTTTCAATTTAAAGGTGTTTTCAGGTTTTCACTTTTCGGCAAGTTTTTTTTCATTTATTATGGATAAGTTGGACGAAATTAAAAAATCTGACGATATAGTCGATTGGTTGCTGACAAATAATTTTAAGTCTTTAACTCATGATAATAAATTTTACATTATTAGAACTCTGGGAAGGCCTCAACCAAATTTGATTTCAATCAAATCGTCAGATAATCGACAAAATCGTGGATTTAATATTAGTTGGTATGATAAATGCGATTGGTTAACCGGCTCCATTGAACGAGAAAAACTTTTTTGTTAGCCCTGTGTTTTATTTTCCGTACAAACCGAATACCAAACGTGGTCTAAAATAGAATACTCCGATTTGAAACATTTACCTCGTGTTATGAGGCAAATATGATTCACAATTTGGCACTTTTTTAAACGGTAGCGTTTTTTCAGGCACCTCAAAAACCATCCAAAATGAGCTTATTATAGACAGTGTGGCATATATACTGAGGAAAATATAAGCAAGGAGATTTAAAGTGTTTCTTTTTTTGCATGGGAAATTGATGAAACTACCGATATTACCTGTACATCACAACTTTCAATCGTTTTTAGATATGTCAAAGATGGTAATGTGGTAGAACGTTTTATGGGTTTTCATGATGTTTCATCTGGGCACACAGCTGACGATTTGTTTAATTTTTCAATTCGTACGTGTGACACCTATAATTTTAGGCGAAAGTTAATTGCGCAAACCTATGATGGGGCTGCGGTAATGACCGGCCATTTAAATGGTTTACAAACTAAAATAAAGTCCATAGCTTCTCATGCACTTTTTACGCATTGTCATGCCCATGCCCTAACTTTAGTATTAAGCAAAGCGTGCAACAACATAAAAATTTTCGCGCCTCCGGCGGGCTTTTCTGTGTGTATATAGTCTATATGACTTAAAGCCTCACCTGTTCTCCAATGCACGAGCCGTCACTGTACATTATCAAATAGATAGATCATTATTTCAGACAGGTAAAACACCCAATTAGAGGCAATGCTCCCTATAAGACGAAAAAGAGTAAATAAAAAAAAAATAAAACAATTTCACTATATACAATCGATATCCGTCACACGAGTATAAAGCAGATTATAAACACAAAATAACAACTTGTGATTTTCTTAATAAGTAGGTATGATAGTTGTCACAATAAAAGGACAGTTATATCTAAAATTGATACGAGGTAGGTACTAAAAAATTGATTTTGGACGACAAATCCCCACAAACGAAATGATTAGTGAATATTCTCAAAATATCTACTCTGTAACCCTAAAAATTAATAAAATCTGTTTGCTGAGGAAATCATTTCGTCCTTATACGCCATGAAAATCAGTTCGTAATAAAAAATAATGCCGCGCCAACTCATTGATCTCTGTACATCTCTTGATAATGGTGCTTTGAATATTCATGTTTTGAATAGTTTTCGGAATATTTGATTGGAGATTATTATCTTGATTATCTTGAAACCACTAAAAAATTAAATCAATGTCACTGTCTATTATCTTAAAGATCTTGAAGTCATCGACATACAATAATTTTTGAAAAAAAATTATTCATAAGATCGTCAATTTATTAATAAGTTCACCCATTTATGGCTACCCATTCCAATACTGATATGTCTATCGAATAAGTATCCAAATAGATTGACCAGATCAGCAGTAAAGCTAAATAGAGCAGGGAAGCTAAATAGTTTTTGAATCAAAATTTTGATATCAATCTCAAATGCCTTCTATGAATAACATCAACTCCAAATCAATTCACGAGTTTTAGGATTTGATCATTATCTTGATGAAAGAGAACTTGTTCTTGAACAAATGTGGTCGTTTTCGCTTCAGATCATCATCAAAATTGTCCAGCAACTCTGCATAATATTGGGTTGTTTCAAAAGTTTTGGCTGTTTTTAAGAATACTTTAAACTGTAATATCTCAGTAGATATTCAATAATTTCGTCAACATAAAAATTGGATGATCGGGATTCTATGAAGGTGACGAAGGCCATTTTGCCTAGTCTTGATTGGCGAAGGTTCTGCCGGTGAGAAAGTTATCGAAGTGCTTGGAAAGATAGTGGTTGGTTGGGGAAAGGTCTGGGGAGTATGGTGGGTGAGACCAAACTACGACACTCAATTCGTTTAAATTTCGGACGGTGATTTGTGTTGTTGACCAATGCCGGCTACTGCTGACACAATTTTTGGTATATTTCGTTTGGATCGGTTGTAGAAAGTTATAGTGAATCACAAGCCGCTGACCACAATACAGTAACTATTGCCTTTTCTCTTTTAAAAAGAGTCTAAGTGGCTCATCGGTGTCCAACCATTGACCCGAACATCTCATATTGTCGTAGAGGATTCACTTTTTATCACACGTGATGATCCGATCCAAAAAAGAATCGTTTTGGTTGCGCAAGAGCAAAGAAGAGCACACCTCGAAATGTGACATTTTCTGTCGATCGTTCAAATCATGGGGCACTTATTTTTCAAACTTTTTGATCTTTCCAATACATTTTGAAGCATCAAAAACCGCATGGGCTGTGATGGGTCAATGTTCACCACCTGTCCTCAAATCCTCGTCCTGTATTACTGTAGGTCTACCACTTCGGAACGGAATTTTGTAAACCAACGTCGAACAGTGCGTTTATTGACACAATCATTATGAAATACCTGGTCAATTTTTCGGGCTGTTTCGGCAGCGCTTTGGTTAAAATTGAACCAAACCACTACCGCTGTGGAAGACACGCCCGAAGAAGCCATTGTATGGCGAAACACGTGTTGTGTTTTTGTAAAACTGTTTATTGGAAATCTCACAATAAAGTGTTTCTTGAATACGTCAATTTGAACTCGTAAAGAAAAATTGGCTGAAATCGTTCAACGACATCATATAGTTATGAGCTGATAGTGAAATGGACAGCATCAATGTATAGAGCACAAAATTCTCTATCCATCAGTATATACCACGACACAGTAGAATGAATATTTGTTGAGATGTGGAGCTACAAAAACAAAAAACAAAACGAACAAAACCTTCGAAACAACCTCACACTATCTTTTGAAGGTATCAGATGTTACTATGCCCTTAGCATCCCAAAATACTGCAGCCATGACCTTCTATGACCTTGGTTTTCTTCAGCTACGGTTTGCTGAGCAGTCCAGAGATTCAATTGCTTCTTGGTCTTTGGTGTATCGAAGTGGGTCCATGTATCGTAAATGGCTATTAAATGACATATACATTATTTATTGTAAATGATCATAAAATAGAATGATGTCTCGCACTTACATACATCAAAAGCAGTTTCAATTTGTAGGAATATTTAGTTTGAAATTTACAATGATGTAGACATAAAATAAAGTTCAGGCAAGATGGAAATAATAAAATTTTGCAAGGAAATTATTATCACATGGTATACTAAAGTACTACAGCATGGTGTAGGAAAGACGGCTTCATAAGATAGCATAGCAAGGAACTACTTTGAGGTGGTTTGCCGAACGCATTTGTTGTCGACAGAAGCAGTCGCGGCACCACCTGACAGAACTTCCGCTAAGTAAAATATTAAGTAACCTTTCAGTTGAAATATACACTGCTTCAGCTCTCTCATCTTGATCACTCATCGGTCATTTCTGGCGTGGTAACCTCATTTGGATGACCTGGACGCTTATCTCCGTTGAATTCAGCTGTCCAGTATTTCATATTTGAAACTGAAAAAGCACAGACCACGTAAAAGTATCTTACAATTCAAATTTGATCTCATCGTTAATTTTTTTTTTTCAAAAACAGGAATGTATTGACTGCACCATATTTCATTTTGTTAATTTTTATACCTTGCAGTACGGAAGTTGTTCACTTTCTGTTTCTCTCAAATACAAACTGAATAACTTATAGCTATCTGAACATTGGCAAGCAGTCATCTCAAGATTGATATGAATGGCATATTTTGCGTAATGATTATCTGCAATGAAATTGGCCGATACTTGATGAAAATTCATGGTAACGTATCTGCATGTACCTACTCGGTTTGGAAAGAAATTTTTGAAACTCCAACGAAAACAATAAAGAACCATGTACCATTCCATCATCAATTGAGATAATGAAAAAAAATGTATGGCATTCTGTTATTCTTTCGTGTATTTCTGATAATTAGTTGAATGATTAAGTAACATTTCTTCTCTTTCCACAGACGAGCAAAGCTGAATGTGTGAACCCTTGTGACACTGAGATACATTGCGACCCCAACGCATTCTGTCTGGTGAATCTTGAAACTGGCGACTTCAAGTGCGAGTGTAAGCCAGGCTTTAACAGTACTGGCTATCATTGCATCGATGTTTGTGATGGTTTCTGCGAGAATGAAGGCACTTGTGTCAAAGACGTCAGAGGTCAACCGTCCTGTAGGTGCATCGGAAGCTTTACAGGAAAACATTGCCACGAGAAATCGGAGTTCGCTTATATCGCTGGTGGTATTGCCGCCTCCGTTATTCTAATAATCTTCATTGTACTGTTGATATGGATGATTTGCGCAAGGTAAGAATTTCACTCTCGAATTTTGTCATATAGCAGAAATCTGTACAGGTGGAACTCTTCATCAATCTACACCACCAAATGTCAATGGACACGCCTAAACACGTTATTATTCATCTTTGATTATACAAAGAAGTTAAGTTATCTCTTTCATTACAGTATGTAATAAATAGAATACCAGACATGTTGAATGATTAAATGGTATGGTTTCTCAATATCCTTGGCGAAAGAAATTGGTCCTCAGAGTAAAGTCTTCGCGACTCTAGGTTAAATTGCACGATACTTTAGGTGGCCAACGTGTCTGTAACAAAAATTGGAGACATTTTTAGTCTCGCATTTTTTTAGATTGAACTGGGCTGATTTACTGACAGCTGACACTGGAACTAGAATTTGAGTTATCTGTGATCACAATAAGAAGGATAGGATTTTCTGCCCTTTTAGAATCTTTGGGCTAATCCCTAGCTGACTTCTCCATGAACTGAAATTAATTTCTTATACCAATCTTGAGTGTCCCTATCATAAAAAGAAGATACTATTTAACCTGTTCCTTTTGAGAAAACTATATCCATTAATTTTTTGATGTTTTTTTTGAGTATTTAACCCTCCACAATCTAAAAAACAAATAGAGAATATGTTGAAGTGTAATAAAGGGCAAACTGAAAAGTTCACCACGAAAAGTTACTGCGTAATATAGATTACTGAGAGTCCAATTATTCAGTAACTTGTCGTATTCATAAATTCAGTTCTGAAAAATTTGTATAGGAAAATGGATTAACGGAGTTTCTCATTCAAAAATCAAAATCAAAACTCTGCTTTACTCTGCCAAGCTTCTTCAGGCATATAATTTATTAAGTTGTGGAATTCTTTCTTTGAATAACATTACACTTACAGTTAAAATGAGTATAAAACAAAGAATTATACATATAAATTGATAAAAATTAAATATTTGTAGGATTTTTTTTCGAATTGAAGGGGTTATATTTTTAGGAGTGAATACTTTTTGGGAAAGAAACTGTTTGGCTTTCTACTACTCCATCTTGATACAAAAAACAAGGATGAGGGAATCTTCCAAGGAAAGGAAGGAAGTAATCAATTTTAAAATAAGTAACTCTATACATGGATGTGTAGATCATGCAAAGAAGTAACTTTCAGACACAAACTGAAAGAAAGTCCTCCTGAAACAACTACTTTCATATAAACATTGAATTACACGAAAGAAAAAAATTCTTTCAAAACAAATACTTCTTCTATATGAACACTGAATTATACAGAAGATACTTTTCTCTACTCAGTTTGTATTTCAAACATTCGTTGTGGAATAAAAAATCAGATATCATTCACATGAGTTCTACTTTAAATGAATGGTAATAAATTTCACTTACATGGATCACTGTCACCCTCACTGGTATACACCAATGTTTCGCCTTAAGACACTTGCCCCAAGGCTCTTCAGTACCAAATTGGATAACATTCTAGAAAATACACACAGTAAGAAATGTGTGAAAATAAAAAAAAATATGTACCTACGAAAAAAATATAAAATATGTCATTTTAGAATTTCTACTTTATTGAAATCATATAATTGTATACAACATATCTGTATGATAAATTATTCACTGTACCATGCAATTGAACAGTATAGTGAATCATTCATGATGATATAAGTGCAGATGTATTGAAAAACATAAGTGATCTCATTGCAGAACCGTTAACATATATGATAAATAACTGCTTCGCAAACGGACTATTTCCAGACATTTTCAAAACTGGTGTCATCAGACCTTTATATAAAAATGGGGACAAACTTCAAATAATCAACTACAGACCCATTTCGCAAATCTCTAGCATTACTAAAATTTTAGAAAAAGTTATAAAGAAAAGGATAGTGCAATTCACAAAAAAATATAACTTCTTATCAGATAACTAATATGGCTTCCGAGAAAGAAGGTCGACAGAAGATGCAATGTATAGACTTACTACTTCCATATATAAATCAATAGATATCTCAAAGCCATCACTGGGCATCTCTGTCGACCTTTCTAAGGCATTTGACACCGTTTGCCACGAAAAACTCCTCGAAAAACTTGAGTCCATCGGTATGCGAGGTAAAGCATATGATTTAATGAAGTCCTACCTCACCAATCGCCAACATTATGTGAGCATTGATGGTGTGGTAAACAGTTCGAGAAGAATTATTTTTGGAGTTCCACAAGGCACTGTATTAGGCCTTGTGTTGTTTACCATATATATTAACAGTCTACTCGAACAAAATACTGAAGGTGTCATTATCAGCTATGCTGATGATACTGTGATGCTCTACAGTGCAGAAACCTGGCAACAACTGAAATCAAAAACAGAAAACAACTTCAAACAAATAACTAAATGGTTTCAATATAATAAACTTACCCTAAATGTAGATAAAACCAAATACCTACCTTTCACTTCCTATATTAACAATTTACCGAATATGGGGCCTTTGATTGTGAATGCAGACACACACATTCCGGAAGCAACTTCGATTAAATATCTAGGTTTGATCATAGATCGGCATATGAGATGGGATTCTCAAATGTCATATCTAACTAGGAAGATACGTGGTCTTCTACCACGTTTTAAGATTTTGAAAGAAAATCTCGATATTCCCTATCTGAAAACACTTTATTATGGACTGATTCAGTCACAGTTATCATACGGAATCCTATGATGGGGGGGAGTTAACGAGACAAATATGAATTGCCTAAATATTGTCCAAAAAAAAATTCTGAAAATTATTCTAGGGAAGTCACGAAAATTTTCAACAGGAAAATTACTTATATAAAGAAGCAGGAATTATAGATGTGAGACAACTATAATAATATTATAATACCAGGAAAAAAATAGTAATGTTTTGATTCCAAAATGCATAAAATTGATTGGACAGAGACATAGTAGTTTTTTAGGTCCAAAGATCTGGAACTTAGTACCTGAAAACATAAAAACGTTGTGAATTTTATTACTTTCAAACAAAAACTAAAAGAATGGATTGAAATGAATAGAAATGCATGTCANCTTCCGTCGTGTTGGAACATAATATTGTTGCACCAAGTATCGCCGTGACATAAAACTTTTGGATACTCCGAATTTTTCACAGCATTGAACCATTTATTGATTTGCACATCAATTTTCTCTTTCATCACCTCCGCAGTCAATTTCTTTGGGATATCTGGAAACTTTTCCAAGAAATATTTCACGAAACATTGCACAAGACTTTCGAAACCATTACCGGTCATGTAAAATATTTCTTCCAGGTACTCTTTGTAGTATTCATCAATCGTGGTTGTTGTTTCAAGGAAGTCTGATAATTTTTTCTCGAACACCAAACTGGTTGCGTGAAGTTTGGCTAATGGTGTTATTGATTTCAGCAGATGGTCATGATGGAAACTGTTACTCACATCCAAAGACGAGTAACCTTGGTAGGATAAATCATCTAGTAGGATCATTTCATCGGGTCTAACCAAATAACATACTGGGAGGAAGTCGACGAGGTTTTCCAGACCCATGTCTTTCAGAAGGGGGACAAAGACTGTGTACATGAACACTTCTTTCTTGAATCCTCCTTCACTCATCATTCTCAACACTTCCCCTTGCTCTAGCACAAATTTGGCGAAAAACTGTAGAACTGTAGGTTTTCCTGCATGTTCCACAAATATCTTCAGTTTAGCGTATGAGCCCAGCGATCCACCTCTTTCGTCCATATCAAGTAGATCGATTTTTTTTAGGTCGAAGTCACTGGTACCTAGTTTCTTCTTTGCGATAACATAGCACTCCTCGCGTAGGATTCTCGTAAAGCAGACACATTCATACAACTCTCCAATTGCAATCTTCAGACCAGAAGCATATTGCACTTTTGCTGCAAGGTATTTTTTCAGCAGTTTCTGAACGAGTTCCAGTTTAATCAAAGGAAGACACTTACGAATAAGTTTGTGGTATGCCAGCTTCGACATAATCGGAACTGAGTCGGTAGATTTCAGTAATTTTTCTCTCAAAGCATCGTGAAAATGATCCAGTAGGTCTTCCAAATCGTACTGCCTTTCCTTTTGGGTGGTATTAGAGAAAACAACCAGCAAAACTTTGTAAATTAATTGTACGTACTTATATTCAGGGTGATTTAGTAACTCTTTCTTCAGGATAACTAGTTTATCGATTCCTGTCTTCAAACGGTCGATGTCAATATCTTTGTAGAACTCTTCCTGCGGGAGAAGAAACAAAGATTCTGCCACTTCATTGTTTTCAAATTGTTCACTTGTAACTTCCGATTTCTCTGCTAAAATTGTGAGCACTGCTTTCAAACCTCGCACAGACATTGTTCTCGTTCAACTGATAAATGTTTCGGTTTGTAATCGCTGAATGTTACTGTTTGGTTTGGGCAGTCGTATGAATGACTAGTTCATAGATAACTGTATAGCTGATACTTGTTCGCTGATAATCTGTTTAAAAATTTGTTATCGAGCTGTTCAAATTATGAAATTATACAATTTAAAGACGTAATTACTGCTGGATGTTCTGATAAAAAGAAATCAGTACTTCAGATTGCTTTTGTGAAATTTATCAGGTCTGTGATGTGTTTGCCACACGAAGTAAAGGCATTGTATGGTTCGAAATAATAAAAATCATACAGGGTTATTCTTGAACTAAATAAGAAACAGGGGTTTTCATAAGCTCTACTCATACAAAATATTTTGATAATTGATCGATGTTTATACTGAACGTACCTTTTCTATTCATTCAATAAAATCACTCTGATAATCCGAAGAAAATTTCACTTTCTTGAAGTTAGTTGTGAAACCTAGAAAGGTATCAAAATTGTTGGATTAATTTCTTATTTTATTGTGGAAGAAAGTTTTCTAAGAACCTGCCTGAGATTGTTAGAAAGGTTCACTCACCAATTTGAGGTACATTCACTCACAAAAAGAGTCTGGGCAATATCAAAATTTACTGAGGATTTATGAGAGATTGAAAGATGAGGAAAGGATGAAAAACATGTTTAACTTAGAAGAACAGTGAAACTCCATTCATTTCAATCATTCATTCAAAGAAAAGTCGCAAGAAAATTTTCAAATCATTTACAAAATATTAGTAATAATGAACAATGAAAAATAGCCATCAATATTCTGTGTCAACCCCCTGATGATGAAAGGGCACATTTACTCCGGAGGCTGAAATTTTGTATGTAGGTTCATTTTATGTTGTAGATGTGTCATAAGGAAGGACTTTGAAATATTCCAACTAGGGCTCCCCGACTGGAGTTAAAAGGGGCGCGTTTATGTATGAAAATTAACTTTTTCATCATTTTTTCCATACCGCTGTATTTTAGGAGGCCGAAACTTTGTATGTAGGTTCGTTTCATGTTATAGGTGTGCAATAAAAAAGAACTTTCAAATATTTCAACTGGGCACATTCACATATGAAAATTACATTTCATCACTGTTTCTTCATACCGCTATATTTTTGGAAGCTGAAACTTTGTATGCAGGTTCATTTTATATTGTGGATGTGCAATAAAAAAGAATTTTAAAATTTTTCAAGTAGCCGCTGGAGGGTTCATAAAAAAGATACTTTTTCATCACTGTTTCTCGTACTGAGAAAAAGGCTCACCCATGAAACAAAATTATCTTTCCATCATTGTTTCTTTATGCCCCTAAATTTCTAGTAGGTGAATTTATATTTAGTATCAGCATTGCACCCGTGCGGAACCGGGGCTGTTCGCTAGTGTACTATGAACTAATGCAAAATATAACATTTTTCACATTCGGGTTGTTTTGTTAAATAATAATGAACGGGGATTTATTTGAACACAGTAACTGTTGGTTGAATTCATATATGAAACCTTTTTCTTCCAAATTTCTGAAATCAGTGATATCAGACCAAAATCTTGACTAGTTGATTACATGTTCCATTGGATAATGTATATACTACTCATGACAATCAGTATTCCTGAATTACTACAGAAAAGATTATCCAGCGTAGTAATTTGTAAAAATTCAAAGAAATCGCGAAAATTCGATTACGTTTGTTCCTACAACTAACTGCATTATATTTGTGCTCTACAGTATGATGCCAATTATCAGCTATGAACGAGTTTGTGAACTTTTATGCACTATTTATTTTTCACATCTACATCCAGTATTTTGAGTGATATCTTCTTTGCCATCTTCTTTGTCATCTTCCTATGGCACGAGGATCACTTCTGAGTTTTCTTTGAATGTATGAAAACACATATTTGTTGGATCAAAGTATTAGCCTACAAGCCGTTGTCATTCTGTAAACCAACCTTGAAAATACCCCAGAGGTATTTTCAAAGTTATTCGAACGTCATCTGCAGGTTTTTTATGCTTGACGTTATATTACCCGACAGTTAATTGTTTTGCTGATTATGCATTTTCAAGAATCCTTGGATCAAAAATAGTAACAACTTGTACTGAGATTATTAACTATTTTTAGAAAATGGAGTGATTTTCATTTATTTTTCTGGTTCTATAAGATATCGTAAAATGAAAATTGATGTCAAAATTGCTTGATTTTTTCAATAGTTACTAATTTTTTATAGATCAGTAACAGAAATTGTGCCATCGTTTTTTACGTCAGAGAAACGTCATTTAATCCCTGTATCTGAGGAATTCTTTTGTTTCGTTTGTTCTCGTTTCCCCTGTTATTTGTTCTTCCATTCGTATTGGAGGTTCCGCAGTTATTTCTGTTGGGTAGAACACAATTCAGGCGATACAAACAATCGTAATTAGCCAATTCACGTGGCAAAATAAACAAGTGTTACAAACGTGATCAAGTTTCAGGTTAACCAGGCAAAGTGAAAACATACAACGGTCGTTAATTTTCCGTTGTTGAATATTCCAGCGAAATTGTGTAACTGATATTAAACAGTCCGCGGATTGCTTCCGTTCGGCGTTCTGATTAGAAGTTTTATTGATTTTCAAAAATCAGTGTATTTATTTGTTTTTTATTTTATTCATTCTATCGATATGCTCAGCAGCTCAAGAGCTGATAGAGAATTTCAAAGCTCAATATCTTTACCTAAAACACTCATTTTAGCAACCGTTTCATCAATGTAATAATATAATTTCTATAATTCCTGTTCATAATATAACTTCTGTGCGGCTAGCAATATAGTAACAACTGTATAAATATGATACAATCTATCTATGATCACAGCGATATCACAGGGAATACAGGTGTGAAACTAGTCGAGTTTTAAACAGTTCATTAGAGCCGGATTCTACACAGATTGTTCGTGTCTGTTCTTTACTCATTTTTCTATTCTGGCCCCTCAGTCTATGGTTTTAGACAACTTTCGAAATTCCGCAAATCCCTGGTAAACTGTACAGGTTGTTCATCTCGTATATTCCAATCAGGTCATTGTTTATTGCACCAGGGTTGGAAGATATAGGATTTTCTACCTTTGATTGGTGTTCAATATCATGTAGCGACCAAATCACACTGACATACTCCATAATGGGCCTGATATAAGTCTTCAGAATGATTTTGATGAGGTCTTTATTGAGTGTTTGGAAACTATTGGTGGGGTAATGGCCGGTTCCATTTGCCTTTTACGCTACACTGCGTATATGGTGGTTCCATTTCATAACCGAGGACATTTAATTCATAACGACTTTTTGAATAGAACTGGCCGATACTTGATGAAAATCCACATTAAAACTAATTAATATAGTTTACTGTATGATTTTCACTATAAAGGTTTTACAAAAACCGCGACACGTGTTTCACACGTGTTTACGTGTTAGAAATCACACGTTAAAAGGTAAGACCTCGGTAGTCCTTAGCTCGCACAAGTTTGTCAACTTCTGAGAGTTGTCATTCGTATGGGGACGACAGCTGATTAACGGAAAAACATATTTTAAACAGATTTTTTTAAACAACAGCTTCCTCAAGCGTAAACTAAAACTTACTTCTAAATCAGAACTATTTTATGCTCTGGCATATTACCTACTTGTATGCCTACTTTCTAATGAATGACTCTACCTGTTTTTTAATTATTGATTCAATCCAAATTTTTACAATTAAAAAAAGTAATCAGATTTCATCAATAATGTTTAAGCAGATAAATCAATATCTAATCAATATTTTATTTACTATGAGTTTATAGTATAAAAATTATTGGTTTTGGTATTGGTATAGATACGTGGATGATATCCTGGTATGTTTCATAGGAACGAACAGACAGTTGACTAAGTTCTTTCATCAATTCTCTCCACTCTTCTACCACATTCACAATGGAAATGGAAAAAGATAACTCTATCAATTTTTTGGACTTGACAATAACAAAAGTTAACAACCAACATGATTTTTCAATTTATCATAAACCAGCACATGCAGATTTCATCATTCATAAGTCGTTTACCCATCCGTATCGGCACAAAATAGCAGCTTTCAACAGTATGATCCACAGATTAATAAACGTGCCCTTTGTCAGAGGCGAATTTCAATAAAGAATTGAACATAATAAAAACAAATAGCCGTCAATAATGATTACGATAGCAGTTTAATACATTCTTCATTATCAAAAAAGTTATACAGCCAAGCTTTGAAGGAAGTTTACCCAATTTGAAGGGAAGAAGATGAAAGTTATAGAACCTCAACCAATTATCATGTGGGTTATGTCCAATGTTGTATATAGGTCAAACTGGAAGAACGTTCAAAGCCCGCATTAAGGAACAGAAAAATGTTTTACGGAATAGAAAAATAAATTTCATATATGCCACTCATTTAATCATAGAGGGACATGAGTTCAACCATTAATACAAGCTCCCCCATTTCCAGAAGAGAGGGTTGAATCTTGACCAGTTGGAGAGTATGGAAATAAACAAATTCAAAAACTCCCAATTTCTTATGAATGATCAAACTGAATTGAATAACTCACTATTATTGAATCTGTTCATTTCCAGATAAAAATAGTTATGTACCTATATTTATGGTACTTTCGAAAAATTTATTTATTTAATTAATGAATTCATACCTGACCTCTTCAGGTAGATTCATTCATCAAAAAGTAGGCATTTGTAGGTAATATGTTGGAGTATAAAATAGTAGTAATTTAGTAATTTTTAGTTTCAAAAAATCAAAAATCAAAAAATCTTTATTTCTGTAGACCTAGGGAAGGCATGGAAAAAGTCACATTACTCAGTACAATTACAATGAGGTCACAATCATAAAACAACATAATTATAAGATATACTATATAACATTTAGACCATAAAAGGGATACAAAAATTAAAATTTAAAATTCCAAATCAGACTGAAAAAATTCATCAAGCGAATAAAATACCTTTTCACATAATAGTTTCCGAACTTTTTGTTTAAAGAGCTTTACACTAGTTATTTTTTTAATGGATATTGGGAGCTTGTTGTACANCTGTCAATTGTC